GGCGGCAGCGCTGGGACCGGGAGGAGCGCGCTGAGCTGGGAGTCGGCCAGTGACCCACCCAGCCGAGCCTCCCCCGGTCCGTTCGACCCACGGCAGCCCTCTGGGTGGGAGCTAGGCCGTCTTCCTTCGTTGGCTCTTCCTTCTTGGGGCCCCCGGGCGCTTGCAACTGGCTCCCCTTCAGAGGACCTGGGCATCGTGCACCTCGGAGTCACCCCGGACCCACGAGAGGGGCCCCACTCCTGCCCTGGCCCATGGTGGGGACCCTGCGGTGATCGGGAGGGCGAATGTCCTTGACAACCCCGCTGTGCAGCGGAGAAGACTTGTGATCACCCCGATTCCCTTCGCCACGCCCTGCTCTCAGGGAGCTAACCTGGGCTGAGACCGACTCGCCCAAGGTCACGCGAGGTCAGAGCCGGGAGGAAGCCAGGTATCCTGGGTCCCAGTACCAAGGTCACATAGCAAGTTCCGGGCACCGTAAGGGGGACACCAAGGTGTAGGTCCCTGCTATTAACGGTTGGTCCCCCAGATTTGTTACTACTTTTTCCTTTTTTTTTTTCCTTCAGTTTAAAGAAGTGCACTGATAAGAGGTTTACTGATAAGATCTCTACACTGGAGTTTAGGCTCCTTAGGTTTAAATCTTGGCAAGACCATTAGTTGACTGTATAACCCTGAGCAAAATGAACATCTCTGAGCCTTTATATGTCAATCAGAAAAATAGCTATTCTTGTGTCACAGTTATTTGAGGCTTAAATAGGACAGTATATGTAAAAGCACCTAAAACATGCAGAAGGAACACAAAAATCGGAACTTTTTGGACCATCAATAGATTTGTTTTAGGGGGTAGTCATCAAGTGGACAGAGATTGCTGGGTTTATTGCTCTGTAATTGGATTTGATTGTGTCAGTCTCTTCAGACCCTAATTTGCTTGGGATGCTAACTCTTAGGTCAGATTTGTTTCTAAAGCTGAAGTAATTTCTGGGTTACTATTAAAACAAATCCATCTCTTAATCCCTGGGCCTCTACTTAACACCCACTGGGAACTAGAGCAACACTAGTAATAAGTGTGCTGGTAAATTTCTTGGGCCTTTACTGTGGACTGCAGGAACTCGGTCGGAGGAGTTTGGGAAGTGTTGGACTGCAGAATCAGAAGGTGAGATTCTCAGTCAGGCTTGGTGGCACATATTTGGAAACCAGCAGTCTGGGTGGCTGAGGCAGGAGTATTACAAACAAGTTTGAATCCATCTTGAGCAGTTTGGCAACTTAGACCCTATCTCAAAATAAAAAAGGGCCAAGGATGTGTAACTCAGTGTGAAAGCCCTGGGTTCAATCCCATTACCCCCCCAACAAGAGAGCGAGAGAGAGAGCGAGAGAAGGTCCTCCTTGGACATAGACTCCCTGTGTGCTGGCCTTCACCTCTGGGCCAGTTTCTCCTTGTAGGGATTGGTATCTCTAAAAGATCTGAGTCTAACCCAGGGTAGAGGGGCTGAGCTGGATTCTGGATTTGGAGGAGCAGTTCCTCTATTGGGTTGCCATTTAAGATTTTGTTTGAAAAAACATCTGCAACTTAAAAAAACTTTCCCACAGAGAAAATAGAGGGTTTCTGAAGACTTTCTTGGCTCTCAACTATTATAATGAGCCATTTTGCCATCTGCCATCACTCATTGTAGGTCCTGCCTGCTATCTGTCCAACACCATATTGTGTGTTGAAGCTGGAGAAGGAAGAGAAGACAAAACGAGCTACAGACTAAGATGGCCCAGGGTCTGGTCAGAAGTTCAGGGGTCCAATCTAGGCCCAGGGTTTTTATCTGAAAACCCTGTCTCCCCAGGTCTCATTCCTCCCAGTCTTTAACTCACTACTGAGAATTGAACCCAGGGCCTTTAGACTGAACTACTCCCCCAACCCATTTTAAAAATTTTTAAAGAGTCTCACTAGTTTAAGCAGGATAGGCTCAAACTTGTGATCCTTCTGCCTCAGCCTCCCAGAAATTTAGGATTACAGTCATGTACCAATAATAATCCACCTACTAGGATGTCTTCCTAGGATTAAGACTTGACAGGAGGTTTTGGCAGATGTCCTTTTGGGTCTGGCCCTAACTTTTCAGTCCAGGACATAATTGCAGATTCCCAAGATTAGAGAGTGCAATTCATTCATACTTTTTTGATGGCTGGTTGTTGTGTCATCATCAATAAAGGCCAGTATTTGTGCAAAAGGATCAGGCTCCGAAAAGGAAGTCAAAGACAGGAGTAACACATGTCCCTTGTTCATGTATATGGCATGAAAAGAGATCATCAGAATAAAATCTAATGTTTAAGCTAAAAAAGAAATATAGTTTTGTTCTACCTTAAACATTTTTGACAACCTACGTTCATAAAATCAACTTTGAAAAAAGTATAGTGCTTAAATTCTTGACTCAAATGTAAAACATTTATTTAGGTTTTTAAATCCAAGAAAGGGCCAGGCATGGTGGCGCACACCTGTAATCCCAGCACTCAGGAGGCTGAGGCAGGAGGATCACAGTGAGTTCAAGACCAGCCTGGGCTACATAGTGAATTCCAGGTCAGTCTCAACTACGTAGTGAGACCCTGTCTAAAAAAAAAAAAAGAGAAAGAAAGAAAGCCACTGCATTGAGTTAACACATGTCAAAGTATTACTGGAAAATTCCTAAATATATCTGCAGAATTGTAGCATTTTTGGCCATCAGCATTCATCTCCACTGTTCTGTGTGGTTTCATTCTCTGCCTGACATCTCTTTGTTGATATTCACATAGGTCTCTCGGCTGCTGGGGGCATTTCACAGCCCAAAACAGGTGACCAGAGCTTTTGCTGGTGGCGTGAGTATAATCATACTTTTAATTTTTTTTCCTTTTAGAAGTTTCTCAAGAAAGATGCTCTAATATATAGCATTTACTCTCCATTTATTTAAAACTATTATACTAAAATCATTGACAAACATATACACAAACGTATTAGTCACTTGTGCATGTGAAAGAATTATATTACAGCTGGCTCTGGAAGCCTGTGACATTACTGTCTTGAAGGATCCTTGTTAAAATAGATAAATATTACTCTTGAGCCTGTTACTTTATTTCACAACCTCATTTTGGTAAGAAGCTTTTTTTCATGCTAGTACAAGTTGAGAGAAAATTGTTGAGAAGCTTCAAACCTTGCTTTGCATTTTTATTTTGTGAGCTTCCCTAAAAACAGTAGATTGACTGCCAATTGGGAATTTCTCAAACATTGCTAAGCCCTGTAGGCTTATGCTTTCTTATATAGTCATTATAGACTATCACATTAGTGGCTCATCTATTTTCCATCAAATCTGCTGCTTTTAGAATTCCCAGCATTAGAGTTCTATGTTTTAAAAACTGATACCACAGTTTTGGAACATTCTAAGACTGTGGGTCAGTGATTTCCCATTCATTTTTATTTTATTTCCCTTTTACAGAATCTAATTTGGAATTCCTAATTTCTATACTACCATATAACACTTTATATATGAGGGATTTGTAAGACCATAGTACATTTTATTTCCTAGTTATTTTCTCTACTGTGGGAGTAAAGTAGATTTCCTCATGGTCTGATGCTGTTTATTATACATGGGGAGGACAGGAAGAAGATGCCAAAGGGTTCTTTTGGCTCTGCTTGTACAGAAAATGCAAAATGAGCCTTGCACTTGGAGCTTGAGAGTAGCTAAGCCAGTATTTCAAATACATTCAGAGAGCTGATCATTGGTCTCTGCTGTTACTTAATTTTTAGGATACCCATTAAAAAAAGGATATATATAAATTATTTTTTTTTGGCCTGATAGGATTAGTTTCAGATGAAATAAGAGGAGACATTAATTTTGAAAAAATTTCTTCAGCCATACAGAAGAATTGAGAATTCATCTGCCTGTCCAGGAGGTATCATTAGAAGGTGAAGAACCATGGAAAGTTGATTTAGTGTTTATTTAAAGTCAGTTTGTGATTTTTCTTTTTAACATGTAGCTCAGGCAACTAGAACTAAAAAAAGACCAGATGGAATAACGTTCCCAGTAATAAAATGAATAGAATGTATAGTTTTCAAATATAGAGAAATATTATTAACTGAATATTTATTAACTCATTTAAACCCCCTTCCATATTTTTATTTCTATATTGAAATGTTGGCTTCATTTTGTCTGAAGTCTTTGAAACAAATAATTGATGTTCTATCATAAATACACTTATTGCATTCTCTAATATAGTGCAGGCTCTGTAGGTCTGGTCATACATTACCCTTATTAGCCACAAATCACTTGGCTGAGCTTACTTATTTTACACTCACTAAGGACAAGTTTTACACAGGAACTAGGAAAGTGGAGGTCTTAAAGTGTAGCCTGAGATTCTGAGCTTCAAAACAGACCTCTGATACTCTGGAAATGTGTCTGAAAGAGCTCTGTATGCCTGAAGAAGTGGCCTGAGGACAGACAACCTCTTGCTTTGTGAAGAACCCTCTGAAATAGTGCAAACAACACAGTTGAAATATTTTAGTCTTTGGTTTTACAGACTTGGAACAGTTGGTCTCATCATAGCTTGTCTGAAAAGAAATCTCAATTGGGAAGTCTACTTGGCATAGTGTAATATATTTTGGCTATATCTAAAAAACATTATTTTACTTCTTTATAAGACCTCTGGACACAGGTAGAATAGATTTGTAGAATCTCCTGTCTGTTGAAGTCTGCCTCTGCTTTCTGGTCCTGGGGAAGTTTGTTTTCTTAGCAGTGTTTGGGGTCTTTCTAAGGCACCCTGTGAGATGGATTTCTCTGTCAATTATATTCTATTTTAAACCCTCGAAAACCAATTCTTACTTTGTTCCTTTAATGATTTCTTATATTCAGGTTCAGACAGTAACTTTAATTCCAGGAGATGGAATTGGCCCTGAAATTTCAGCTGCAGTTATGAAAATTTTTGATGCTGCCAAAGTAAGTAGGATTTTTTAAAAAATCCATTTAATAATAATTTAAGTGTTTTTAGCCAGTTATGTTCTGTGACAGTGAATTGCATGTGTTTATAGAGTTTGGGAGGTCTGTTGTTAATCTCCACAGATCATCTCTTTAATAATGTTTCAGTGTTATTTGTTACTGGCATTGTTGTTAGTTTAAAATTTGTGATATATAAAATAATCAAAGTAGTACTGCAGGATTCATGGATCTTTGAACTCAGCTTGGGTTTAAAGTTCTTTTTTGGGAAGTGAGGGGTTTGAAGTCATTGTATCATCCTGCCAAAATAGAGGAGAAAATTGATGTTTGGGAAATTTAGATGGGACATTTTGAAGGACTTCTTTTTTCCTTTCTTTCTTTTTTTGTTTTTGCTTTTGTTGGTGCTGGGGATTGACCCAGGACCTCACATATGCCAAGCACATGCTCCATCACTGACCTGTACCCCTAGTCCCTTGAAAGAAGCTTATTTAAAAAACTGTGATGTGAGCTGGGCATGGTGACACACACAATCCCAGCAGTCTGGGAGGCTGAGGTAGGAGGGTCACAAGTTTGAGCCGAGACTGGGCAAATGAGTGAGGCGCTGTCTCAAAATTTTAAAAATGAAGGTGGTAGGGATACATAGCTCAGTGCAAAGGCCTTGGGTGTAATTCCCAGTACCACCAAAAAAAAAAACCATTATCAAGAATGGGATATTTAGCTAAGCTGTCGATCTTTAAAAATACTCGTTTTTGTTTGTCTCTTTGTGTCAAAGTCTCCAATTCAATTTGGTTGTTTTTAGTACATTCCCAGAGTTGTACAGTTATCTACAAATCTAATTTTGGAACTTCTTTTTTTATGGTGCTGGGATCAAATTCAGGACCTTATGTGTGGTAGGCAAATTTCTACCACTGAGCTATATCCCCATCCCTAATTTTGGAACCTTTTATCACCTAAAAAGAAACCCCATGCCTGATGCAGTCACTCACCTTCTCCTCTCTCTCCTACCCCATCCTCTGCCCTTTATCTTCCTCAGCCCTAAGCAACCACTGTTTTCTGTCTCTGCATGGTATGCTCAAAAATATAGTGAATGGTTAAAGTTTAAATGTATTAAAGTAAAAGACACACATTGCCATGAATTCTTGGCAGAACACTCCTCCTTGCTTTGAACGTACTCATCCCATTGTTCTTTCTGCTTTGTGAAGCAATTCTGGAAGTCTTCTTTCATGAATATCTTCAGTTGTGCTGTTTCAGCTGCTTAGATATTCTGAATATTCAAAATGTTTACCTTTCATGGTCATTTTGATTTTGAGGAAGAACCAGAAGTCACATGGTGCCAGATCCCTTGAATAAGGTGGATAAGGACACTCTGTAGCCAGGCGTGGTAGCGCACGCCTGTAATCCCAGCACTCAGGAGGCTGAGGCAGGAGAATCACTGTGAGTTTGAGACCAGCCTGGGCTACATAGTGAGTTCCAGGTCAGTCTCAACTACATAGTGAGACCCTGTCTCAAAAAAAAAAAAACAAAAAACAGAAGAGCCAGGGATTTAGCTCAGCGGTTTGGTGGCCTGCCTTGCAAGCGCAAGGACCCGAGCTCAGTTCCCGGTACCAAAAAAAACAAATAATAAAGGAAGGCAATTAAAAAAAAAAACAACTCTGTAATGTTTTTGTTTTGTTTTGTTTTTTGAGACGCTATATCTTCTAGGCTGGCCTTGAATTCACTAGGTTGCCCAGTCTGGCCTCAAACTCAGTGATCCTCCTGCCTCAGCCTCCCAAGTGCTGGGATTACATGCATGTGCCACCACATCTGGCATTGTAATATTTTTGACAGAAATTGCTGTGAACAGTTGATCAAGAGGTAATCAAAAAACAGTGAATATTTACAGGAAAATACTTATTGTAGTACAAGATACATTGCCATTAATCCCCTTCAAAATGCTCCCCCTCACTTCAAACATGCTTATCCCATCATTCTTGGCAATGCATCTTTAACTTTAATAAGTTTTTTTTTTAATTAAAAAATCCATCATTTCGATCACCTGTGTATGTTTTGGTGTTCTGGGATGCAAATAGATTCTTATATGGTCTTATGTGATCTGCTTCTTATACTCAGTCTAGTGTTTTCAACATCCGTCCATACACAGTACCAGGGATCGTTTCTCTCTGCTTCTTACATGGGAGAACCTTGAGGCTCCTGGAGAAGCAAAGCGTGCAGGGGAGCCAGCAGGACGTGGTGTGAGGAACTCTGAGTGCCAGGCCTTGAGAGTTGACTGTCACTGTGGCGTGCCTGGCAGTCTCGCTGCTGTCAGCTCACCGCTATGCTTCCGTGGCCTCTAGGCGCCAATCCAGTGGGAGGAGCGGAATGTCACTGCCATTCAGGGACCTGGAGGGAAGTGGATGATCCCGCCAGAGGCCAAGGAATCCATGGATAAGAACAAGATGGGCCTGAAAGGTAGGAGGGCAGGGTGGAGAAGTTGGATATTGCTTTCTGTGCCTGGGTGTTAAGCTCCAGAGTTGATCTGCATAGGCAAAGAGAGGCCGGCTTCCTGCTGAAGCAGAGCCATGTTTTTATGAACTCTCCATTCATAATAAGGTGCTTTGTTTTATATTTTGAACATTCTTTTTTTAAAGCCTAGTAAAAAATATTAAAGTATTACTGGCCATTACCAACTGACAGTATGTATTCATTTATCTTTTACCTCATTTTTACTTTTTTTTTGGAACTGGGATTGAACTTGGGTAAATCCCCAGCCCTGTCATTTTTACATTTTTATCATTATTGTAATATACATTTAAAGTCCTGATTCAAAATGACTAGCACGTGACAGACTGAAATGTGGTACAACTTAAAATCATAGGTCCAAGATTGACTCTCCTGTCAGCCACACAATGGCTGGCAGGCCTGGCAAACTGCTTAGTCTTGGGTTTTTATTTCTTCCATTTGGTGTCGGGGGGAAGTACCAGTGTTTTAACTTGGGCCCTTTCACTTGCAAGGCCGGTGGCAGAACCACTGGACCAAATCCCTGGCCCTTATTTCCTCCTTTTTTTTTTGTACTGGGGATGGAACTCGGGTCCTTGCATTTGTGAGGCAGGCGGCAGAACCACTGAGCTAAATCCTCAGCCCTTATTTCCTCCATTTTTAAATGGCTCCTATGGAGCATTGTGAGGACAAGGTGATGTCAAGCACCTTGACAGTACAACGTTTTGTCCCAGAGGCTTTCAAGACAGAAGTGCAGTGAGGTTCCAGAGTCTCTGTGAGGGTAATTTCCTCCTTCACTGGATCTAAGAGAGGGGATCAAGCTAGTGGCACACACATTGCACAAGGAGCCACATGTGAAACCAGATGTGTCCTCTTGTTACCTGGGTGTTCTTCCTTATGACAGGCCCTTTAAAGACCCCAATCGCAGCTGGTCACCCATCTATGAATTTACTGCTACGTAAAACATTTGACCTTTACGCCAATGTCCGGCCATGCGTCTCAATCGAAGGCTACAAAACCCCTTACACTGACGTGAATATTGTCACCATTCGGGAGAACACGGAAGGAGAATACAGTGGTATTGAGCACGTGGTATGTTCAGTTATTTTTGTGTTTGTAATTGAATTGCTCTTCATCTCTCATAGTTTCACCTGAACATATCTCCTGTCTTAGTTACTTTTCTCGTTGCTGAGACAAAATACCTGACACCCACAGTTAAAAAAGGAAATGTTTATTTAGCTCACAGTTTGTAGAGGTTTCAGTCCGTAGTTGGCTTGGTCCAAAGCAGAGTGGCATGGTAGAGGGGCATTGCTGTGGGAGAAGCAGTTCATGACAAGCAGAAGGCAATAAGGCAGCAAGCTACAAGTGACAAGCAGTGACCCTCTTTCAGGCCCTTATGTCCTATCCAAGCTCCCTTCCCTTAGAGCAGGTAGCACCCACACCCAGGATAGGGGAGCTTTAATTCTAGCATCGTACCATGAATCAATTCCAGCATCATATCCTTGATCCCAGCAGCATATACCCTAGATCCAGCCACCTCCAAAAAGCCCCACCTATAACCACATGAATTTTGGGGGTACATCTAGATACAAGCCATAGCATCTCCCAAGGACAAATGAGTGTTACCTTTCTGAGGAGTTGGGTGTTTTTCTAGGGCTGGTTCTGCAGATGACTACTGAGATGGATGCAGGAGGAGCAGAGCCTGGTGGTTTAGAGCACAGACCTGGGACTCTGCCTGCCTCACAGATGTGCCTGTGGGCAGGCGACCCTCTCTGGGTCTTGGTTTCTCTCTTCTGCATAGCAGGGTTTATTACACCTGCTCCAGAGGCTGAAGTTGACACTGACCCTGGGAACGCAATGTGTGCCACTGGCCACACTAGATGCCACTTTGATACAGTCTACACTGCCTGCAGACTTCGATGGTTGTGGTCACACTCTCTGAGCAGGGCAGGACTCTGTCTCTCTCAGATTGTCGATGGAGTCGTGCAGAGCATCAAGCTCATCACCGAGGAGGCGAGCAAGCGCATCGCTGAATTTGCCTTTGAGTATGCACGGAACAATCACCGGAGCAATGTCACAGCTGTGCACAAGGCCAACATCATGTGAGTCCCACGGAGACGCCGCTCTGCTGCTGTGCCTTGCTGGGTGATGACAGACCAATGCTGAGGAGCAGGAGTCCAGGCCCTGTGAGCTAAGGAAGGCCTGAGGGTTGTTATGAGAAAGGAGGCTGGAGAAGACTTGGGTCTCCATGACCACATGGTCAGGGCTTCGATGGTGCTGCTGTTTCCTGCTGTGTCTTGGGTGCATATTCTCATCACACTCAGCCAATTAAAAGCTGTCTCTTCTGAGTGTAACCTAACCTAAGAAAATTATTAAACATGCAAAATAGTAAAACCATTTAAATAATGGAGGATGGAGGTGGGTTAACCCTTTAAACCCATTTTTGTAATATTACCGAGTGCTTGGTTTTTGTTGGGTAGTACTATAAAAATCTAGTGTTCTCTGTAACGATGAAACTACATATTTTATGTTTTTATCCTGTTGTGCCTCTAGAAGGATCACAAGACATTTTCAGTTTTGTTAACTGCCTAAGAAATAATTTTTACTGAGCTGGGCATGGGGGTACATGCCTATAATCCCAGGAGGCTGAGCCAGGAGGATCTGTGAGTTCAAAGCTAACATGAACTACACAGTTCAAGGTCAGCCTGAACTACATAGTGGGATCTTGTCTCAGAAAAGAAAGAATTTTGCTATAATTTTTTACTGTAATGATTTTACTGTAATTGAAATTGGACATTTTAACTTCTGGAACTTGAATTTCTTGAACTTCTGGTCAGCCTGAACTACATAGTGGGATCTTGTCTCAGAAAAGAAAGAATTTTGCTATAATTTTTTTACTGTAATGATTTTACTGTAATTGAAATTGGACATTTTATCTTCTGGAACTTGAATTTCTTGAACTTTTTTCACATGGGTGTTTTCTTAAATACAGGAGAATGTCAGATGGACTTTTTCTGCAGAAATGCAGGGAAGTTGCAGAAAATTGCAAAGATATTAAATTTAATGAGATGTATCTTGACACAGTATGTTTGAATGTGAGTACATTTTCATACTTACCTGTTACTTTCTGTGATGAACACTGTGTGTGCTCACAGCTTTTGATTGCTAAATGCACAAATGTGTTCCTTGTAGATGGTTCAAGATCCATCCCAGTTTGATGTTCTTGTTATGCCAAATTTGTACGGAGACATCCTTAGGTGAGTTTGACTCCACCCTTTTTATCTTTGGTCTCTGGTTTATTTACAGACATGCTAAATAAATTTTGAGTTAACATTTTTCCATGCTGTTTCTTATGAAACAGCATTTTTCATCAGATGTAAGCTGAATTCTAATGGTGCAGGTGGTGACATCAATGATTACATGTTAAGGTGGGGTCAGTCCTTTATTTACCAAGTCAGCACTGGGCTATTGCTCCCTCATCATAGTTCACTTTTTCCATTTTTCAATTGTTTTGCAGTACTACAAAGTAAATCCAGGACCATCATCCTGAGCTACATTCCCAGCCTTTTCCTGTTGTTTTTGTTTGTTTGTTTGTGTTAAATTTTGGGACAGGGTCTCACTAAGTTGTCCAAGTAGTACTGGGCAACCCTTCTGCTGTAGCCTCTCAAAGTGCTGGACTTGGAGGCATGTGGTTTTTCTCAGATGTTTTATTGGTTGGCTGATTGATTTCAGAATGTTGTATTATGTATAGCTAGGTTGGTCACTTTAAGACATTTTTTGCTTATTTTTTGTGATGCTAGGGATTAAACCTAGGGCTTCATGCATGCTAAGCATGAGCTCTGCACTGAGCTACACTGAGGTATACCCCCAGCCCCAGTAACTTTCATCTGACTTCCAGAAAAGTTACAAGAATGGCACAGAAAATTTCTGAACTCAGCACCTGGGTTTGCCAGATCTTAACATTTCACCACGCTTACTTTGTTATCACCTCATCACCATTGTTGGCCAGCTGTGATTATTATTCCTTCTGTATCAGCCATCATTCCTTCTGTATTAGGGTTTGGCATCCTGCCGCAAAGTTGGAGTTGCCCTTCCTGTGTCTGTTTACTTAGCTTTGCCATATGGGCTCGTGGTGTTGTTTATTCAAGGCTGTGCCCCTCGCCTCATCATTCCCATTGGTGCTCAGGTGGGCCAACTGGGCCAGGCTCCCTTCCCCGTGGCTCCTGGTTCCTGTGGTCTCAGCCCCTCCTTCTCTGAGCATCGTCTTGCTGTCCAGTGTAGTGAGATGCTCCAGGATCATCTGCATGTTCTGAACCTTAGCCTTGGAATCAGCCACTTTTCCAGGAAACTGGTTCCTGCTAGTGGAACATGGTGTTTTAAAATAAAGTCCAAATGCCAGATGCGATGTTTTCCTTTTCTAAATATCTGCCTACAGTGACCTGTGTGCAGGATTGATCGGTGGTCTTGGTGTGACCCCAAGTGGCAACATCGGAGCCAACGGGGTGGCCATCTTCGAGTCGGTAAGGGACCCAGACACCCAAGCAGAGGTCAGGTCGGAACCGGAGGGACACAGTAGAGGCTCTGTATACATTTGGGGTTTAACTATGCCATTTTATAAGTTGTCAAAAGAATAATGCTTTTTTCTGGTACTGGAGATCGAACTCGGGACCTTACACTTATGAGGCAGGCGGCAGCATCACTGAACTAAATAACCCGCCCAATAATGTATATTTTTATAAATAGCCTTCATTTGTTCATTTTGCTTCAGATATTATGTAACCTTCTCTTGTATTTTACCAAAAACTAACTGATTAGTCCATATTTTTGTACTTTTAAAAAGCTTAGCTCTGAATTTCCTCCAGGCTTTACTCTTGAGGTCTGTGTCGGGTGAATTACACGCAGCACCATCAGCACAAACCTTCAGGGGGTGAGGAAGGTGATGGGAACTCCCTCCAGCTCCCTTCAGAGAGCTGCTGTCTTTGTTAAGTGTAGGGTGGAGCCCAGGGCCAGTGCTCACCACCCTCTGAGGGCTGCAGGTTTGGGTCTCCTTGCTGATGCTGCCTTCCTGACGTGCAGGTTCACGGGACGGCCCCCGACATCGCAGGCAAGGACATGGCCAACCCCACCGCCCTCCTGCTCAGCGCTGTGATGATGCTGCGCCACATGGGGCTTTTTGACCATGCTGCGAGGATCGAGGCCGCATGCTTCGCCACAATCAAGGATGGAAAGGTATCGTGGTCTCGACCTGTGTGGCAGATGCATCTCTGTGTTGTGAGTGAAGGGAGCACTCAGGAGTGGAAGGAATCGAAGTCAGAGATTCTCAGGGTAGGCGCCCTGGGTGAGCTGCAGGAGGTGTGTGCACACATGTTCATTTGCTGAGGTCAGGGTCCACGTATTTTACACAGAAAGGACCAAGAAGCACTGATGGGCATTGTGCACAGCAGGAAGGACAGTGGGAGCCAGAGACAGGAGGGCCAGCCCAGCCTCTCTCTCTCTTGATACTAGGGATTGAACCCAGGGCTGTTGCACTAAGCTGCATCCCCAGCTCTTTGTTCTTTTTTTTTAATTTTATCTTTTATGTTTTCAGGTAAGGTCTTGCACAGTCACTGAATTACCCAGGCTGGACTCAGCCTGTGCACCACCGAGCCTGGCTTGCCAAGTCCTCAGCAGAATTTCTCCAAAGCTGGCCCCTTTATAAAAAAATGTTATAATTTGAGATTCCTTCATATAACCTGTTGGACCCTTGTAGTCGGGTTTTAGTATCCTGCCTAGTGTTTGATGTAGGCCTGAGAAAAAGAATACCCTAAGAGAAAGAACTAAGACAGAGAAAGCAGGGTGTCAGGACGACCAATGTCAGTGCAACCAACAAAGGCGCTGGACAGTCCCAGGCACTGACTTTTATTGACAATCATTTGGGGTAAAGGCAACATGTGGTTTCTATGGAAATTATTGTAACAAGTCTTATAACGAATAAGACAGCATTCCCAAATTGGAAACAAAATAGACAAAATATATGATTAAAAATAAAACATTGTCTTTTTAGCCTGAAGGTTTTAGTTGTGGCAACAGATTTTGGATGTGAGTTATTTTGACCTGGACACATAGGCTTTAACCAGACTTACTTTGAAAAATAAACAAGCCAATTGTGGTCTTGAATCTCTATAGCCTACTTTAGACATAATCAATATTATAGTCCTCTACACAACCAAAATACAAGAAATGCAAGCCTTTTGTTTTTTTGTATTGTTGGTGGTGGTGAGGATGGAACATAGGTCTTCTTGCATGCTAAGCAAGTGCTGTACCACTGGTTACACCCTCAGCCCAAGCTTATTTTTAACAGCCTGACAGTAACTTTAGGGAGCCCTGTTCTGTTTTTATTCTAAAGCTTTATTTGAGAAGTGACACCTTAGGGCCCAGCAGAAAGATGCCTGAGTTATACAGCAGACCTTAATTGTATGGGATGCAGACACAAGACCAAAATATATAAAAACATATATGTAATTTAAGACAGGGTCTTGCTATGCAGTTCAGGCTGGCCTTAAAATCATGATGATCCCCTTGCCTCAGCCTTCGGAGTGCTGGGATTACAGTTGTGCACCACCATGCCCAGCAAGAGAATTATATTGAGGTCTGTTTGCAATAGAGAGACAGTAAGCCAGTGGAAGACAGACTGATTGTATGGAAGACCTGCTCTCGTAAGGAGGGAGATTTAAGACACAGTCACTTAGGTATTTTTTGGTATTTGTTCTCTAGCCTTCAAAAATAGATCAGAACATGTCTTAAGTTTTTTAAGCTTCAAAAATTTCCCATGACTTTGTAAAACCTCTTGTTTAGTTTTTCTTTCATTTAAATATGAATAAGTGGGCCAGGGATTTAGCTCAGTGGTGCTGCCACCTGCCTCATAAATGCAAGGTTCTGAGTTCGATAACCCCGGTACCAAAAAAAATGTTTTAAGTATTTCCTCAGGGACTAATGTGTGAACAAGGGGGAAATTTGGGGAGACTTCCATGCTGCCTTTTGAAGCAGGAGCACCTGTATTGTTTGAGTGTTTTTGTGGACTCCCTGTAATGGGGTCTCCTGGTCCTCCCAGGGAGTAGGTGGTACATGGGGGCCTAACTCTGAAGAGAGGAACTAAATGAAAGTTGGAGCAGGCAAGCTCCTTGCTCGGTTCACATCTCACTGACGGCTTTGAATGACAGTGTCCTGGCTTCAGTTCAGGGCATGGATCCCTTTTTATTCTTGCTGTTTCCTTTTCTCAGAGTTTAACGAAAGATTTGGGAGGCAATGCCAAGTGCTCCGACTTCACGGAAGAAATCTGTCGTCGGGTGAAAGATTTAGACTAACATTCACCAGTGGTGTACGCTGGAGTCACTCCTAATGGACATCACCGCGTAAACGTCCCTGTAGGCGCCTGCCATTTTGTGTGCATTTGGTTTGCTTGTTTCTTGACAGAGCACATTTTAAAATCTGGCCTTTTCTTAACCAGTCTGTGCAAAGGATACAGGGGATGTCTCTGACCTGCTTTCAAAGGACTTTTTCCAAGTGCTTGTTTTATTTATTAAATGTCTATCTGGTAAACATTGTTTTGTAAACTAAGTGGACTGTATCATTTGCCATTGTTAACCATTTTACATTTTAGTTTAAATAATTTTTCTCAACTGTAAATATTAAGATACAGAATTATTAAGAGAAAACATACAACTTTTTAAACAAAAGTCCTGTCTTTGGTTTATGCAAAACATAGTGGAAATAAAACAGGACATTGACATAATAGCACAAGATGACATTCTTATAAAGCTAAATGGGCATAGAGAAATTTCCTAGGAAAGTTCACATGTAAAACAGGAAAATGGTATATTTCTTAGCAATACGGAAAATACAGACAAATGTTCCCTTTACATGAATTATTATGAATAAAAATTTCAGATCCAAGAAATATATGATGAGCAATATAATTTTGTTAATAAGATACAGATAACATACAGTGTATGGAGTCCCCCATGTGTCATGTTTTTCGTGACTTTACATTGAGGTTTAACACTGTGTGGCTCCAGATGAAGCCATGGGTGGTGCCACCTTCTCCCTGGTTGCACTGTCACCATTGCATCATCAAGGCCCCCAGCCCTGTCCTACCTGAGCTGGGCCAGGAGCTGACCCTGTCATGTTCCCTCTACCGTCACAGCAGGGAGATGGCTCCATTCTCGCTGCTACTGCTGGGCGGCGCTGCTCGGGGTCTGGTCCCTGGAGTTGGAGCTGCAGTTGAGGAACCCAGGGTGCCAGCTATTGAATTCACATCTCAGCCGCTGCCCTTTCGCCTCCTCCAAATCACTGTGCCCTTCACCCAGTCCCTGCCCTCTGTCTCAGCAGCACCAACATAAGATACCACTGTAGAGAGGGAGCTGACTTACAAAACAGGTCACCCCGCAGCCTGGTCTTGTCAGCCTGTGACCTTCAACTCCCTTCTCCCCGTGCTGTCTCCCTGGCAGCAGTGAATGCAACTGCACTTGGCCCCCATCAGTTTGCAAACCTGTGGCTTTGCATAATGTCCCCAGATCACAAGGGGATTTCTTAACAATGGATGTCCTTGACTGGGTCATTTTTAAAGCTTGTAACCAGACCAGCACTCCTTACCTGTATTTTATTTTGTTTATGCTGCTGCTTCCTTTGTTTTTTTGGATTGTGCTAATTACCAGTGGCTCTTGGTTCATAGAAATAAAGAATTCCAAAACAACCAAGATGTGTGCCTTCTGCCTTTCCAGCTCAGGTGCCTTGGGGCATTTCGGCTCAGCTTATTTCTAAGAATGACCGCTAGAGTGCGCAGAGTAGATGTGTGGCCTGGTGGTAATGCACTGATGCCAGAGTGGCTCTGGTTACTAGATTGCTCCACTGACCATCCTGCCTGCCACTAATAGTGTGCAAATGGTAATTTGTGCCTATCACAGAATCCCACGGGTTAAACACTCACTGCTCTGTGCCCGGCTTGTTCAACTGACAAAAAAACCAGGTACTTGTTAACAGTTTTGTTAAAAGTTTAATATCCATTATTACACATTAAATACAGTCACATGGCGGCAGCAGTTTTAGGCAGTGTCCAAGAAGATTCCAGAGTAAGTCTGGTAAGTGATCTAGATGGCTTTAACTGCAGCACACTAGTAATACGACCCCCACCCCCACCCCACCATGGCCTCTGTTGAGCTGTTGAGCTATGGCTTGTTAGGTCTCCCTGGACTTAGGTCGCAGCAGTATCAACCCTTTAGTTGTGAAAGGAGAGTTGATTTCATCACCTGAACTCTTAAGCAGAATTTAAACTACTTGCATTTGGAGCTTCTTCAAGTTGTAGACATCCGCCGAACCCTGGCCTGGAGGTCAGTTCTGCCTGAGTTCCTGTGGCCACATGGGAGAGCCTGGAGCTCGGAGACGCCTCCTCAGGGAAAGGCTACCTTCTCTACTCATTGGGGAGCATGAGGACGGCCCCCGCTACTTCTTTTGTTCTTCGTAAAAGGAATCAATGATGTCTTTGTACTTCTCCAGGACTGTGAGCCGCTTGAGTTTCATGGTGGGACCTAAAAGAGAAGTGGGAAGAAGCAAGTGAGGCCTGGGCTCCGTGGATTCTGAGAGGTACAGGGTAAGGATGCAGACTCAGGAGAGGGCCAGGTGAGGAAGGCAGGGTGAGGTGCCAGCCTCTCAGACCCAGGCCTCCAGCCATCTCATCCTGAGGAAGCTCCTGCAGTGGCCAGGGCTGGCCCGAGAACAACAGTGATGAATAGGTCAGAAATGACTATAGTTTCTTCCTAGTATAACTGGAGACTGTGTGAACCCTGGCCATCTTGCCTGTGACCTGTGCCCATCCCTGACTTCCACTCTTTGGGATTCTGTCCCTTGAATGAATATACTCATCTCCCATGATCCATTGGGGATTGGTGCCAGGGCTCCACGGATACCTAAATCTGAAAGTGCTCAAGTCTTTACATAAAGTGGCTTAGTATGTGCATATAACCTAGGCACGTACTCTATACTCATCACCCTGGTGCTAGGGATCTAACCTGGGGCCTTACACAGCGCTACAGTGGTACCTTGGTTCATGAACTTAATTCTTTCCATGATTCTAGTCACAAACCAAATTGGACAAGAACTGAATCAAATTCAAAGGTTAGGTTCAATGTTGACCTCGATTTGGTTCTTGTCCAATTAGGTTTATGACCAGAATCCTGGAAAGAATTAAGTTTGTGAACCGAGGCACCACTGCCTCCTTGCCTCTTCCCCATTTATTTATTTATTTATTTACTTATTTTGAGACAGGATTTTGCTAAATTGCTCAGTAGGTCAGGATAGGCTACAACTTATGACCATCCTGCCTCAGCATCCTAGAATGCTGGAATTACAGATCTTCACCACCTTGCCCAGCTTCTCCCATATGCTTTAATCAACTCTAGGTTACTTACAATGCCAAATATAGTGTAATAAATGCTATGTGAATAGGTGACTGTTACTGTTTAGGGGATAACAATGAGGAAAACCTGCAGATATTTAATATAGATTCTTTTTTTAAAAAAATGCTTTCACTCTAAGGCTGGTTGTGTTTTGTGGGTGTGGAATGTGCAGACAGGGAGGACCTGTAAACTGGTCCAGCAGTAGAAATAAACACTCCTACAGCTTCTGTCTTAGGCTCTTAAATATCATCTCCCTGCATCCAGCCAGCTGGATTGAGGCATTATGGCAGTCTGTGGAGAGGTCCCTGGGCCAGAACAAGTCTGTCCTACAGCTGGCAAGTATAGACCCCCAGCTGTGGGTGACGGCCCCTGGCCCACAGTATCCTCAAGACTCCAGCCAGAAGCACAGCTGTGCACTGAAATGAAGACATGTGACGTGTGTTTATTGCTCCAGTAGGGGGCGATTGTTACACAGTGACAGCTAATGCTCCAATGGCTTCTGAGTTTCAGGGACAGCTCTAATGATGTGATGGAGTGTGGAGCCTCCGTCAGGGTGTTACTGAGACTTCTTCCCTCAGCTTTGGTTTTCTCCACTTGAAGCATGGCTGAGATCCTGGGTAGCCAGCATCACTCCTGACTAACTGGAACCTTCAACAGCATCTGCTGAGGGAGGGCATTTTGCATCTGCTTGACTTGTATTCAGTTTGACAATGAGGTGTTGAGGCCTCCAACCAACACTCGGCATTGCTGAAGCTGGTGCCACCAAGTTTTAGCCTTGCTGGCCTTGATGGAGGTGCCATCCCCTTCCTTGTGCCATGAGCGCTCTAAGATACCACAGTAAGGAGCGGCTTTGGCCACTGAGGATGTACCTCAGGCTTCTCTGGTCCTACACTGTGGTCCAGGCGGTGTCATTCCTTAACTATCTTGCCAGCTGACTGAAGATGACAGCAGTGTTCCCTATGGCCACCAGCAGAACCAGGCACTGCCTGATGGGTCCACTGGGATTTGAAAGGGAAAACAATCCCCCAGTTGAGGCAAAACCAAGGACTGTGTTCAAATTAATAAGGGCCAACACATTTTGCACAGTTACCCCTCAGTATTCTTTGGGGATTTGTTCTAGGATCCTCCATCCCAGACACCAAAGCCCACAATGTTCAAATCCCTACATAAAATGGGGTAGTTGTATATAACCAAATACCTCGAATCATCTTTACTCATAATATCTTAGCAACACACTGGAAGTGATATGTAAATAGTTTCTCATTGTGCTATTTAGGGACTAATCATAAGAACATAGTCTACATATTCAGGAGAGGAGAGGAGCATTTTCCCCCCAAACATTTTCCATGTATAGTTGGTTGCATCTACCTGTGGAACCCAGACACACAGGGTCGACTGTACAGTCCACAGGCTCTGCACAACCACAAACCCACACTCCCAGCACTCAGTGTCCTCCCACAGGAAGAAAAGTGACTGCCATCCAAAGCCCATTCCCAGACCTTTGCCAGCTACCACTGCCTCCTTGTGGGCTCCTCCCTGGCACCGCATGGCCTCTGCTTCCCACAGCCCTGGGGACAGTGGAACCTACCCAACTCTCCTCCCGAGATGGAGAAGTCTCTCTCAAGAATGGCCCACTTCTGGATGTGGTAGGGCCGGGCAGCCGCGTTTGCATTGACCCTTTGGATCCCCTCTTCGATGGCCTGGTACACAGCCTCGTCCCGCTGCCCCACGATCTCAGACACAGTGCTGGCTCTGCTGCCCACCCTCTGGCAGAACTCCACAGCTTGCTCGGTCAGGTTATCTGTTGGGTCAGAGGTGTCTGGGTCCAGCGTGCACTGAAAAGTCAGAAGACAGGTAAGCCCTGGCGCCGCTCTGCAGGAAGCATACAGCAAGGTGCTAATCATGGTGAGCTGCTTCAGGGAGGGTCCTAAATGGTCCACCACATGGAGCCCTCAGCCAGTGATGTTGTCCTCTGGAAAATGGGGGCTTTGCTCCTGCCTGTCTACAACCCCGACTTTCCCTGTGCCACAACTGCTCTCAGAATCAATTTGGGATCCAGATGAGGTCCCGAGTGCGTGAACTTCTGTCAGGATGCAACCCTGCCCCCTGGGACCCCCCTCAGGCCCAGCACCTCACACACCTTCAAGGTGAGCAGCATGGACAAGAACTTCCTCTGGTCACCGATCAGCATGGCATTGCTGATGATGGGCACCTCCGTCTTCACAGCCTCCTCAATGGGCACAGGGGGCACATTCTCTCCACCCGCAGTGATGATCAGCTCTGAGGAAGGAGGGCTGGCCCAGTTTGGTGCAGACCAGGTGCTGGCTGAGCACAGCCTGGCCTCATCCCTAGCTTGCATGTCCTGAACACAGGTAGTAAGTACCTGGAGGAAGCCTCTCACACCTGCAGGGACTGAGGTGGCCCCAAGGACATTGCCACCCGTGTCCAGGCTCTGGCCTCTTCTACAGCACCCCTCTATGCCCCTGAATCGCAGGTGTCATTTTTGACTTACAGCCTGAGGCCCTACTGACAGAGCTTTGACACCAGGCCCGGGGCTGTAATCCACCCTCAGAAAAAGAACAAGCCAGCTCCCTTGTCATTTTGCAGATGTGGAAACTGAGGCACAGGGAAGCTCAGCAACATCCCAGGTCACAGGAAAGTAAGTAACACAGCTAAGGTTTAAATCCAGTCCAGTTCTAGAGCCCCTGCTGTGCCCACCATGCCACAGTGCCTCTTATGGAGCTGGTGTCCCTCTCATGGGGGTGCCCTGTCCCCTTCTTGTCTGTCCACAGACAGACTGTTCTGCACAGTCTGCTCCTTCGGGAAGCCTCCTCCAGCCCCCAGTCCACATCGACCTCTCCCTCCTTGAGCTTTTCTCACAGCTTCCTTCCACTCATCCATGGGTCACCTCTCATCCTGCCAGAGTGAAGCGGGGGGACATGCAAAGAGCTGAGATGTGTTACGGACACGTGCCAACTTCCCTTGGTGAATGTAATCATTATGTGCTGCAAACAGGGACTAATATATTTTTTAAATAAAAAAAAATGAGGCATCTCTGTATGCAAGGTGCTCAATGCACTAATTGGTTTTTGTTTTGTTTTTTTGAGACAGGGTCTCACTATGTAGCCCAGGCTGGTCTTGAACTCATAGTGATCCTCCTGCCTCAGCCTCCTGAGTGCTGGGATCAGGCATGAGTTTTTTAAATAAAAAAAAATGAGGCATCTCTGTATGCAAGGTGCTCAATGCACTAATTGGTTTTTGTTTTGTTTTTTTGAGACAGGGTCTCACTATGTAGCCCAGGCTGGTCTTGAACTCATAGTGATCCTCCTGCCTCAGCCTCCTGAGTGCTGGGATTACAGGCATGAGCCACCATGCCCGGCCCACTAATTGGTCTTTGAGAAATGTTCATTCCCAGGTTGGAGTTCATCACATTTAATAAATAAAATTCCATAAAATAAAGTCAAAAAAGTCCATGAAGATGGCCTGGCTGATTTGAGTGAGACTGTGCTCCGCTCTCATCTGTCTGAGTCAACAAAGCTGGTGCTTTCTGTGCCTATCTCCCTGGCGACGTCAGGCACAGCATGGAGCAAAGTGCTCACCAGGCATGGGACAGCAAGATGAGGGGTGAACAGCACCGCGGGGCAGGAGGCACTGGGCCCAGTGGATGCTGAGCAGGAGGGAGTTTGGCAGGCAGAGGTGGATGTGAGCAGACACGCAGCCTTTGGATTTGCAGGTAGTGTGTTAAGAGAGATAGGAGGGACTGGGGCCCAGAGCTGCCCTGGGGTCTGGGATGGTTCGGGATCAAGGTTTTAGAACACTCTGGGCCTAGAACTACAATAGAAGCATTACCATAAGGCTACAGAAGTTAGGACCCTGGGGTGTTGGTGCAAGGGCCAGAAAATAGACCAATAGAACAGAAGAGTCTCTCCTAGACAACTGCTGGATAAAGGACAACATGGCACCGTAGGACAATGGGGACAGGAAAGTCTTTTCTAGAAGCAATTAGGGCCAATTTAATATGCATTTTGTAAAGATGTCTCCACTCTATCTCTAAAAGTAGGGCCAGCTTTGGTTGAATTTTTGTTTTCTGGCTGCTCTGCCTTTTCCATGCAGGACCAAGGGCTGCACTTGCTGTTCCAAAGATAAACACCAGGTGGCGCACGCGGCCCCACCCAGTCTCATCAGTCAGGGCTCCCAAGCCTGCACAACCAGAGCCCAAATATGGAATGTCTGTCCCTCCTCAGAGTCCAGGCCTCCATCATTTAGCACCTGGACTTGATGGAACACCTGCCTGTGTGATTTCTAGAAAGTTATGGACCCACTCACCAAGATTCAGTTTCTTCTGTGAAATGTGTGTGTACACGCATTCTGTACACACATGCATCCATGTAACACCCACTTTTGCAAAGGAAGCAAAACAACTTTTCTTCAGAGGTCTCCCCAACTTATTTCCCTTTCTCCCCAGGGAAATGTCCTTTGAAATCTCATGTTTTGTTCTAATTTTTTTGGTACCAGGGATTCGGGCCCTTGCACTTGGGAGGCAGGCGGAGGAACCACTGAGCCAAATCCCTAGCCCTTATTCTAAATTTTATGTCCAGTTCATGTTCTTCTCTCCACCCGACCTGTGTCTGCAGATAAACCTCATGTTTATGCCCCAGGATCTTCCAGGATGCCCTGCCTTGTTTCTCTAGGGGATGTGACTCCCCGCTCCACCATCCACAAGCTGGGTGACCTTGGCGAGTCACCTCACCTCCCTATGTCCTCACTAGGGGTGATGACAGCACCTGCCTGTAGGAAGTGGGCTGAATAAAGGCAGGTGATGCCCAAGAAGGCTGTGCACTTGTCTCGGGCACCATTGAGGTGGGAGTGGACCCCTGCTGCTGCCCACTGGATGCAGGGTACTCACCTTTGAGGCGCCCGGTGATGTAGAGGAAGCCGTCCTGGTCCAGACGGCCTGTGTCACCTGTGTGCAGCCAACCCTCAGAGTCAATGGCCTCATATGTCTTATCCTCCATGTTCAGATAGCCCATGAAGATGGTGCGGCCCCATAGGCAGATCTCACCGATGCCCTCCTTGTCTTGGTTCACCAGCTTCACCAGGCAGCCAGGCACCAGCTTGCCTGAGCTGGGATGAAGGATGGGGGAGAAGAGAGCCTGGGATCAGCTGTTCTGCCAGGTCCCCAACCTCTCAGCCTTCACCAATGGCCAGGAGTGCCTTGCTAGGGTTTCTGTATTTAATGGGGGGGACATTCAAGAGTAGAAAGGTGGGGTTAAAGATTTTTTTGGTGACTGACTGAATGGGTGAAATGTGAATGGTAGAACCTGGAGCCTGGGATGAGCTGGCAGGGAGAGAGGAATGGCAACATAGCAGATGACCCTTCATGTCACATCTAGAATGAACCCTTTCAGGTGCCCTAGAAGGCTGTCTGGGTCCTCTCACTCCCTCTGCAACTGCAGCTGGGCTATCAGCCTCCTGGGTCACCCTCAGATGCGACCCACCCACAGGACAGTGCAGAGTACCTGGGGTGCTAGGGCTGTTTCAGCCGTGCCTCACACACCCAAGGCCACCCCACAGCCGAAAAGGATGAGCAGAGGCTTGGCCCAGGGTCAGTGTTGGCCCATAGCCCTGGGGAAGGTTTACAGGGTGGACAGAGGAGGGGGTGTCAGTGAGGGTGTGTGGGCTGAACCTCACCTGTAGAGCCGGTAGTTGTAGGGGTTGGACATGAAGTGGGGCCCTGTGGTTTCGCTGAGGCCATAGCCTGCATACAGGCGGATATTGAGGCCCAGGAAGAAGCGCTGTGTCTCAGCAGTCATAGGGGCTGCTCCATAGAAGTTCTTCTGGCACTTGGCAAAGCCCAGCGCCTGGCGGATCCTGGCCAGCACCAAGTAATCTGCCAGCCTGGCTGTGAAGGGCTTCAGGTCACTGTGGGAGAGGAGTGTGGTCCACAGAAGGAAGGAAACACACATGAGAAGATGGGCATTCTGTGGACACTGGATATACTGGCACAGCCATTCTGGGGTCCATGCTGTTTTTGTTTTTATATATTGGGGCTTGACCCGGGGGCCTTGCTCATGCTAAGTGTGTGCTCTACCCCGAGCCACACCCCTCCCCGCATGTTTGTCTGCTATGATTGGTCGGTACCAGGGACATGCATGTAAATACTGGTGTGCATGCATGTGATTGTGTGCAACTGTGCTGTGAGCCAGAGAGTTGGGTAGATACAGGTGTGCATAGACACATGCAGATTGCACACATGCCATGCACACACGCAGAGACTTGGAGTTTGCATTCATGAACTCACATGGACAAAAACATGTGATCCCATCTGAAGCCCACAAGCACTTGATTCAACCATATTCACTCTGCTTCGTGTGCATGAAGTTGGAGGTGCACAGATGCCTCCATGGTTCATGAAACAGGATGCTGTTTCATGGACATGCTGGTCACAGAAACCATTTCACAACTGAAACCCATCCAGATTCACATCACTGACTTTCCAGGCCCTGGGTGGGAATTTAACAGGCAATTGAAAGGGGCGGGGAGAGATGAGAGTCATAGGGTGAGACATAGGAGGGTTGAAAAGGTGGAAACCCGGTCACCTCAGCCAGAGAGCAGGAACCACGGGAGACTGCGGGGCCACTTCTGAGGAGGTGCATTCCCCTCCTGAGGAAGTGATTCAGCCCATCTAGCCTTAACCCACAGGTTCTGAGGTCTCTACTGGGCTGTAGATATGCAGGCCCAGCGGCGGACAGGGCCTCTCCACAGGGCCAGAATGAATGCCCTGGGCAGGAACTGTGCCCTACATTCCCAGCTGGCCCAGCTTCCCCCACCTCTCACCACCAGGCCCTGTACCTGCTGGGGCAGGTGAGATTCTGCTCCAATGTCACTGACATGGCCCACAGCAGCATCTTGCGCCGGATAAACCCAGCTTGAGCAGCTACCTCCTGGATGCGCTCCATGATCTTCTCCCACACGCGTGGCACCCCCATGTGGGATGTGGGCTCCACCTCACGCAGTGTGTTCACCAGGCTCCCCTGTCTCCACGGAGAAGCCTGGGTCAGGAGGTCCTGGAGTCCCCTCACCTGGCCAGGTGTGCCCAGCACACCCACTGCTCACGGAGGGTAGGACGGGCCACATGCCTGCACCCATCATGGGCTGCATGCTGCTGCCTGGGCTTCACTGCTACCCCCTTGCTCTTTGCAGACAGGACGTGGGTGTTGTCTGCATGCCAGGGGGCTTGGTGCTTTAGAAGTAGCTCAGTCCCCTTCCAGGTATAGGGCGAGGACTCTTCCTTCACTACTCTATCAGCACAGCCCTGTTCTGTACACAGTCCTTGCTTTAGGAACAGAGAGGTGACAGCTTGGGCCACAAGATGCCAGGTCAAAGAAACCTAGTGGGGGGTTTCTGTCAGATTTCCCCAATGGTTTGAATAAGGAATCAGAGAGCAAGTGCAGCTGAAGAGGCTGGGATGCAGGAAGGGCTGTGGCCACCTGGTGACTATCGCACGAAGGTCCTCTAAGCAGGTCACCCTTGAGGCACTGGGTCTCAACTCAGTCCGATGTCCTCAGTTTCCCTGTGTGTTTGGTTGTTTGCATCAAACTACACAGTGGCAGCTGAAGCAATCTGTCTGACCGGTGCCACCCACCCACAGGTGCACAGCAGGGCCCACTGACCTTCAGGGCATCAGGCTCTGCAAAGCACACCTGGGCCCCCCACTGGATGCCCGTCCACAGGTCATAGATCTGGGCAGCAATGTGGCTGAGGGGCAGGTAGCTGACCACCACCTCCTGTAGAACTTCAGCTGGCTGGATGTCACCCGCCTGGCTGCCATATCGTGCTGTCCATGTGATCTGAGGTTGGACAGGGCCAGCAGGGTCATTGCCATCCCTGGCCATGCTTACCACCATGGTCACCCTGGGATCTGAGGCTAAACCCCTGGGAACCCCAGAGTGGGCACCACCCTGAGGGAATCTGAAAGCCTGAAATGGGCCCCCCCAGAGCTCTTTTCCCTTGCCTTCACTGGGCTAGGCTGGACTAGGGCCTTCCCAGAGGGAGGTGGGGGTCCAATCCACCCAGCCCATCACACCCATTTGGGACATCAGCCTACATTATCTTGGCTCAACATCACACCCTTGGGGTTTCCAGTAGTGCCCGATGTGTAGACCAAGGCGCAGCACTGGTTGGGTGTCTGGGCCTCGATGATGCTGTCCAGAGTCTCCTCGGGGACTCGGTGTCCCAGCTCCATGAGCTCCTCCATCTGTAGCCAGGTTGGGAACATGGCCAGCACCTTCAGTGGGTGGGTCCACATGGCCCCTCTTCACCCAGGGACCATCCTCCCTACCGTGTACACATTGGCCATCTTTGTGGGAGGAGGTTCCCGGTACATCACCACTGCCTTCAGGTATGGCAAGTTTTTCCAGATCTGCATCAACAGAAGTGAACGGGGTGTCAGCAAGAAACATGTCACATCCTGAGAAGAACCTCATCTGCCAGTGCTTGGCAGGCATCATACAGCAAAGGCCTCTGGCTCTCTGTTCTCTGACCCCTGACCCTCACGCTTTGTTCGTGGTTTCACATTGTGGGAACTTGGAGCAGTAAAGGCAGGGAGGGCAGGAAGAGAGGGAAACCAGCAGCACCAGGGACCTAGCTGACAAACAACGGTTCAGCCACACAGCAGAGCACTGGGTGACCATGGAGGAGTGAGGGATGAGGACAGAAGGGGAGAGTCCTGCTCTGAGATACTACAGAGAAAGTGGACAAGAGGAATGTGTAGACCATGCACACAGCATGCAGCCTTTGCATAAGGTTCAGTGTAGACAGGAGTGAAAACGTGTGTGTGCATGTGAGTATGTAAGGCCAGAAGGGACTCTGGAAGGTTAAACCAGAAACCAGTCAGATCACCGCCTATAAGCACAGGAAGGGAATGGTAGCAACAAGAAAGGGATGGGAATAAACAATATTTTAGTATCTTACAGAATTTTGACTCTGAAATCCAATGAATAGTATCATCATTGGAAAACAAAGTTATGTGAAAAAGGGAAAGCAGATTCCCTAAGACTTGAAGACAACCTGAAAGAAACAACTAGACACCAGGTGGGTGATGTAAACACACACACTCACACTCAGAGAATTGCATCCAGGGGTTCATGACAGCATGCTGTGGCACTGTGACACTCAACAGGCAAAAAAGAATTCCAGGCTTCATTCAGCAGCCCGATTATTAGGAGTGATACCAAGACTATTGGGCTGGGGTCGAGTACTTGCCCAGCATGTGTGAAGCCTTGAGTTCCACCCCCAGCACAAAAATACTGATACTATTATTTGGAAATTTTTTGGTAAAAAATGTGTTGGATGAGGTTAATGTTATTAAGAAGTAATATTTTAAGGTAAGATTTTAAAACACAAGAATAAGCTGGGTGTAGTAGTACATGCCTGTCATCCCAGTACTCGGGAAGCTGAGGCAGGAGGATCACTGCAAGTTCGAGGCCAACCAGGGGCTACATAGCAAGTTAAGGACAGCCTGAACTGCCTAGTGAGACAAAAAGAAAGAATAAAATAAAAGAAGTCAAATAATGTTTGAATCAGAATTATAGCTATGGGGCTGGAGATTTAGCTCAGTGGTTCTGCTGTCTGCCTTGCAAGCGCAAGGACCCAAGGTCCCCAGTGCAACAACAACAACAACAAAAAAGAACTATTGCTGCAAACTCATGATTCAAAGGAACAAAGCTAAGAAATTGCAGACTTCTTGTGAGAAAATGTACCAGTAGAAAACATGTGAATGAAGTATTTAAACTGTTGAAAGAAAAGAGATAAAAAGAAATGAAAGAAGAAAGGAAAGGAGAGGAAGAAGCCTTTTCAACCTAGAATTATAAACCAGATGAAATGCTTAAAAAAAAAAAAAATGAAGCCAAACCTCAGCACTTTACCAGACAATGAAAAGCGGAGTTCACGTGCCATCATCATATCTGTGACAAGCAAGGTTGAGGGTCATTCCCAAGGTAGAAGGAAAATGAGAGCAGATGAAAGCTTGGATCTACAGAAAGGCACTCAGGGTCAGAAATGGCAAATGTGGGTGAATGTAAAAAACATTTTCCTTTTTGTAAATTTCTCTGAAAGAGATTCAACTGTAATGTATCCCAAGGTCTGTAACCTACGTGGAAATGAAATGGGTAGCACAGAGGCAAGCGTGGACACATAGTCCCCTTTCGGCACCCCTGCAGGTACCAACTCCAAGGCACCTGGAGTTGAGTGCAGGAGATGACACTTCTCCATGTGCCCCACACATGTGTCCCTGCACGCTTTACACCAGCTCTACCTGGCTTGTACAAGACAGCATAAATGCTGCCCACACAGTTGTACTGTGTCATCTAGAGAACAGTGACAAGAAAAGTCCATACGTGTCTGTTACAGATGCAGTGTCACCGATATATGTCTACCTGAGGTTAGTGGATCACTGACGTAGACCCCACAGACACAGAGGACCATTCTGCATCACGGGTGACATGGCACAGTATTTGAGATGACACAGTGGGAAATTACAAATGTACAATGCAGATTCAACAGCCAACACTGACATAGCAACAGCACGGCTACGAAGACAGTGGAGAAAAACATGGATGCTCACAAGCAAACAGAAACTGAGCCCAAAGGAAAGAAGGGAAGGAAAAAAGGGAGAAAGAGCAGACCAGACAAATAACCATTTGGGGCATTTATGAAAAATGTTTCAGATTGGATAAAAAAGATAAAACCCAATTACATGCTATCTACAAAAAAACACTTTAAATATAGAGACACAAGTTCAAAGTCAAAGAAATAAAAAATACACATGTCGGCTGGGGACTTAGCTCAGTGGTTCCGCTGCCTGCCTTGCAAGAGCAAGGACCTGAGTTTGATCCCTGGTATCCCCCTAAATACACATGCAAGCCCTAATCATAAGAAACCTAGAGTGTGTATATTACTTTGAGGCAAAGAAAGGTTTGGACAAGAACTAGTACAGGGGATAAGCAGGGACATTTCTTAGTGACAAAGGGCTAACAATCTAAATATCTATGTGTCTAATAACAGGCTCCAAACTATGTGAAGCAAAAACCAATAGAACTAGAAGCAAAAACAAGATAAATCTGCAATAATAATTGGAGATTCTGACACTCTCTGTCTCAGTATTCGGTACACAGAAAACCCATAAGAACATAGAAGACTTAACCAACATTACAACACTGTCAACCAACTTGCCAAGTGATTTATAGAACTTTCCACTCAACAACTGTAGAGTGCACATTTCTGAAATATGCATGGCACAGTCACCAAATGGACCATGATCCTGTCACCATACCTGCTCTGCACACAGGGTGCTTCAGTTATGAGGCAGAAGAGAGTAGCAAGGGCAAGTTCTTCCCTTGGGAAGAATTCTCCCCATGAATTAGCAAGTCAACATTTCCCACCCTCATGCAATAATTAATTCAGGACAAGAGGACCAATGGACAATAAAATCATAAAGAAGGCAGCTGGGTCCAGATGATGCTCAGCCCAGGGAACAGTGGACCTGACATCGCTGGGCCTGGGAGCCACATATTAGGAAGCACCAGGCACCACTCTTGAGATGCCTGCCGGGAAAGTCCTCATCCAAAACACAACAGCCTTTAGATCAACAGGAAATCCAGAGATTAGAGGAAGGAGTTAAAGGGCCTCAAGAGGAAGCCAGACAGATAGGGTGCACACCTATAATCCCAGCACTCTGGGAGACTGAAGCAGGAGTGTCAAATTTGAGTCCAGCCTGGGCAATTTAGCAAGATCCTGCCTCCAAATTAAAAATAAAAAGAGCAGAGTTGAATGCAGTGTGCAGGTCTTAGGTTAAATTCCCAGTACAGCAAAATCAAATAGATAAGTAAATAAACATGAAAGGGCTGGAGATATACCTCAGTGCAAAGCCCTGAGTTCCACCCTGGTATGGGGGTGCTGGGGAAGGACAAAGAGGAAGGCGGTCACACACATCCCGAACCTGAGACAGTGCTGACCTAGTTTCTGCAGCCTGTCTGTGACTCTGTGTGTCACAGCTGTCAGAGTGCCAGGCCCATACCCCAAGTGACTTATTCAGAAGGGCTGGGTGGGGCTGCAGGTTTGTATTTCCAGCACGTTCCCAGGTAATGCCCACTGTGGACCACAGTGGTCTATGTCGTGGGAAACAAAAGGCAAAGCTTTTTCAGAAGATACTTAGGAGGGGCTGGGGATGTAGCTCAGCAGCACTGCACCTGCCTGGCAAGCATAAGGTCCTGAGTTTGATCCCTGGCACCAAAACAAAACAAGACGCTTAGGAGATCTGTACATTCTGCTTGGTTTGGAGCCTGATTTCAATAAATCAACTAAAAAGGGTGGGAGCCCCGATGAAGAACAGTAGCTTCCAGGGGATGGAAAGAGGAATGGTGAGGTTTCTTTGTTGTTGTTCTTGTTGTTTATTTACTTGAAAAGATTTTTTAAGGGGCCAGGGATTTAGCTCAGTGGTTCCACTGTCTGCCTTGCAAGCACAAGAATCCAAGTTCAATCCCCAGGACCAAAAAAAAACAAAAAAAAAACAAAAAAGTTTTTAAAAATTAACACCTAATAATTGCACAGATTTGTAGTATGCTATTTCAATACCGGATGTATTGTGTAAAGATGATGTATTGTGTAAAGATCCCGACAGGGCAATTAGCATAGCTGTCACCTCAAACATTTATGGTTGGCTCAGAGTGAGGCCATTTCACACCCTCTTCTGGCTACTTTGCTTGGAGTTACTTCTTACTGTGGAGTTTCAGCTTGGCAAGACCAGAACTCTGGGATGGATGTTGGTGAGGGTTGCACCACAATCAAATGTTAAGATGGTAGGTATCCTGGCGTGTGTGTTTTACCACAGTGAAAATATTGAAAACATGAAATTATTGCGAAAAAAAACATCGTGTATATAAGGTGATGAGAAAGAACTATTTTACCACAGTGAAGTTACAATGATTATTTAAGAGTGTTTACATTTTTTAGAGAAGCATGAAAGACAGGTTTTACCTTTCAACACTTCTGCACACGGAAAGATCAGAGTGTGGAGTACAGAGAAACACGTCGATAATGACGGGATCTGATGTAGATATGGGTGGAGGGGGTTCTCTCTGTTTTTGTATCTAGAGCCTATGTAATACAGATTTTATCTTAAATAGTAGTGCAAGTGATCATTCCCTACTGTCAGCCTCAGTTTTTCTGGCTGCGGATGGAGAAGGAGGTGGCATTTGGATTAGATCAGTAACCTGCTCCCGAGGAGCATGTTGAATGTACTGGGGGCTCCCCAGCCCTCCCCTCCCCAGATCTCAATATGGGGGGTAACCTGGAGAAATGCGGGGCTCCCTCACTAACAATCCCATGTGTGGCAGCCCAGGTCCTACCAGCATGGCTCTCAGACAAATCTTAAACCACCAAGACCTCAGGTCGAAGCTGGCCCAAGGTTGGGGGAGCCTCAGTTCGCTTGTGACTGGGGCTGTGAACAGTGGCTCAGGGACCACTTGAGGTCACTGGGGTCTCTGAAGCCCCTGAATCTGAGGACATCTGGGCCATGCTAGGTCTTGAGGTGCCTGGGCAGCCAGTACTGGGCATCTCTGCCAACTACTGCCAAGAAACTGGGGTGCAGGAGGTGCTGGCGATGCTCCACTTTCCTCCCTCTAGCACGGATTCAACTGGGCTGCATGGTTCACTCTTATCTGTCCTCTCCCAACGTGAAGTCTTTACCCAGCCACACAGGATGGAGATGATCCAACAGGAGACTGCAAGCACAGGGCTTGGCAAGAGTGGGGCAGAAAAGGGCCCGAGAAGAGGCAGGGCAATCTCCAGGAGGTCCACTCAACAAACCTCTACTGGAAAGCAAAGGCAGGTCTACCACCTGGCAGATGAGACGTGGGCGTGCAGGTGGCTTAGAGCCACCCGTGGGAGCCTGGATATGGGTACAGCCAACCGCTGGGTATGCAATGACAATGTGGGGCCCAGCTCCAGCCCTGTCATGAGTTTCAACATGGCACTGTAAGGCACTAACCACACTCAGGATCCTAGGTGACGGTGTGGGTTTCACTCCATGAAGCTACCTTGCTTCTGAGGGCCTGGCCTTCAGATGGCTTACCTATGTCCCTGGCCAGACTCTGGAGACAACGGAGGTCTCCCTCAGTTTCCCCACAGTGTCTGGGCTCAGGGTCCATAAGGAGCCAGCCACCTCCATGCACATCCTCCATACAGGGACCAGTGTGCTCTGCCTCACAGCCCTATTAGGCTGTTTTGAGGTCCCCATTGTCTCTTGTTTCACCTGTGCTGGTGTCCTGGGCCCAGGACATTCAGAGCCTCATCACCCTGCCCACAGATGCACATGCAGATATTCTGCCCTGAGACCCGGCTACAGCCAGGAGAGGGGACCCAGCTACCCTTGGGCAGGGACCCCTGGCCCAGCTGGCTGCTTTCTGTCATGGGAGGGAGAGTAGGCACCAGCCCTGGACATCTGGGGACCCAGGTCCTGTGGTCATGGGAGGCTAGAAACCCTTGGCCCTGAGGTGGATGCTTCCAGCATCCAAGGCCAAAGGTCAGGTTTGGAGGGTCCTCTGGATGCAGGAGACCTGGGGGCCTTGCAAGCTGCTGGATGCAGCTGGGGCAGAAGTGTCCCCAGGCCACCACCACCCAGTATGGGCACGTGGGCCTTCCTTGAATCAGAGGCCCCTGCCAACACTCTGCTTCCACGCTCCTGGGGTGCATCACTGTCCTTGGTACTTGCTTCCCCTATTCTGTGGCAGCCCTCACACTGCTCCCCACTCCCACTTTCCAGTGAGACTTGGGTCTAAGCCACTCGTACCTCCCCTCCCACCAGCAGAGGCCCAGGCAACCCTGTCCTGACCAGAGGCTGCAGGAGGCAGTGGGCTGGCATGAGTATCAGCCTCACACTGGTGACCCCAGCCTTTCAGCTATCTGGGCCTCAGCTTCCTGACTTGCCAGAGGGAGGCAACCATTACCCAACTGGGCCTGATGTAGTTGGGGTGGGGACTGCTGCTAGGATGAGGGGAGCCCTGACTGGGAGTGGCCACATCCCTGGAGAAGGGGTCCCTCACCTCCACCCAGCCCCTACCCCCAAACCTTCAGGATCTTTTCCAGTTGCTTCTGTGTGTCGACCACGATGATGTTGGCCCGGCAGTCATGGGCAATGTACTGGCAGGCCTCTGGGGAGCTGGTGGTGTAGATGCCGGTGACAATGCCACTGCAGGACACCCAGGGGACTCACACCTGGGCAGGCACAGGGGGCACCCTTGCCCCTACCTGCTCTTTAGCCCTCTCCCAGGAGAGCTCCAGGGGAGAGCACCACTGGGGAGGAAACACGACCTTCCCTGCTCTCTGCCCACTGCCAACCCATTCAGCCCTATCCCTCCCAGTCACTCACCCTGCAAACACAGTGCCCACTGCTGAGAAGAACCACTCAGGGGCATTGAAGCCCAGGATGGCCACACTGTGGGCTCGCTCCAGGCCAAGCTGCAGGAGGAAGGCAGATAGGTGAGTCAAGGCAGCCAGAAAAGGGCAGGGAAAATGATCTCCCTCCCTCGGGGCCTCTGTCCACACTGCAGGGAACCCTGCAGGAAGTCTTGGGGTCCACCCAGACTGAGAATCCCTGGGGATTCATCAAGGCCCCGGGAACCTGGTCATAAGGCTTCGCATGCAAGCTTCCCTTAAATGTGACGGCAGATGACACATGGGCATCAAGAGCCTGGTGCTTGGTAAAACTTCCGTAAATGTAAAATCCCCAGTCCAAGGCCCAGCATGCAGTATTGGCTCAATAAGTGGGGTTGGTTAAAGTTGTGATTTCTAAGGTTTCGCCTGCAGGGAGCTGGGGAGGAGACGAGACCATCCAGGAAATGGTGTGGACAGGGAGGATATGGCTTAACCTCACCTTCAGGAAGCCTTTGGCAGCCTTGCGGGCGATCAGGTAGTACTGGTAGTAGGAGATGCGCTCCCATTTGTCCTGGTGCTTGAAACCCAGTGCGCTGAGGTCCCCGTACTTGTCCAGGGCTTCGTAGAACATGCGGTGCACAGTGTACGGAGTCTGCGAGCAAATGGGGTCCAAGCGCAGGCGGACCCGCCCATCGGCCCTGGTTGTCCACAGAGTCTCCTCTGCAGGGAAAGGATGGCCTGGTCACGCCTGCTCCAGCTGTCCCCAGGGGACTGAGGAAAGCCCAGGCAAGCTTATAACAGCCTTGCTGTGCTGCCCACACTGTGGGCACTGGGCCCCGGGCTAGGTAGGCTTGGGGCTGCCTGGAGGAGGTTGGCCTGGCCTGGAGCCACAGAGGATTGGGACTTTCCTTGTTTCATCTCAGCTGCAGTGTGGTCTTCCTGCCCTGGGAACAGGTGAGGACAGACCCAGTGGGGCAGAGGGTCAGAAGATGGAAGGATCTGGGGACACTGAAAACCACTGGACTCCAGGCCTGGGCTGCCAAGTCTCCAGTGCAGATGAATAGCAGTCAGCGGCTCACCCTCCTTTGGCTCTCATTCAATTCACACTGTGTGGGTCGGGCATTCATTCACAGACAGGCAGCGTGGCTCAGACAGGCTTGGCCTTTTCTGAGGCCACACACCAAAGAAGTGGCAGGAAGACTTGAACTTGGGCATTTGATGCCACAGTCATCCTTGGGACACCTTTCAGGGCCCCACCCAGCCTCTGAGCTTTGGAGGGCTCAAGCTGTGGGCTATAGGTGAAGAGGACAGTCCACTGGGCATATGAGGGTTCAGATGCCTTCACGGAAGGCTGATTCATTTCTCAAGGTGAGTGTGACAACTAAAGGACATAGTGCACAAGAAAGAACCAGTGTACAGCTGGTGTTCAGTAAAGGACACTTTCCCACATCCTCCCTTTCCCAAGGTCTGCAAGCTGCTCACAAAAAAATTCTGAGTGCTCCAGACCCTGTGGGGCCTCTTCTCTCAGGTGAAGGTGGCCTTCTAAGATGACCCTGGGGCTTCTGGCCAGCCCCACCCAGCTTCGGAGGTGGCACCATCAGGGTGCTGCTCCTGGCTTTCATCCAGGGGATACAGTGAGAAGGGCACCCATACCCCTCCCCTGTGCTACGGAGGCTATGTGCCGACTCTGAGCTCTCAGGATGGAGTCAGGTTCCTGGGGCAAGGCCAGGAATGAGGGACCAGGAGATGCAACCAGGCCCAGTCTGGCTCACGGCAGCCTGTGAAACACGCAGGCCAGGCCAGGGTGGGTGCAGAAAGAAGGTCCCTTGTTCCCTTCCTGCCTGGGCAGAACCTGGGCTGTGCAGGCCAGCGTCTACGCTGTTCTGGAGACAAGGTCCCCACAATGGCCTCTGCTGGAGCCAGTCCCCGGGTAGAAGCAAGAGCTGCTCCACCACTCCGCTCCTTCCTCCCGGAACCTGGTCCAGGCCCTGCCTCACCAAGGCGGAAGGAGGATGGACTGTGAGTTAGGTTATGCTTGGGCCCAGAGCATTGGTTCTGCCATCTTGGAGAGTCTCCTCCTCTCCCATGCACTGAATAAAGTGTGCATGTGGGGTGAGGATGTGGAGAAGCTGGATCCTCACATGGTGCTGGTGGGGATGCCCATTGGGGTAGCCACACGGGAGAACAGCTCACCAACTCTCAATGAATTAAAGTAGATTTACCATGTCGCCCAGCTGAGGCACTCCTAGGTATCTACTGACTTGAGGAAAAGGAAAATACAGGTCCCCACAAAGACTTGTAGATGGTCACAGCAGCATGACTCATAACAATCAAAAAGTGGGAACAGCCATCTGTGGTAGGGCATGGGTGTCATCTTAGCACTCTGGGAGGCTGACGAAAGTATGAACCAAGTCTAGGCAATTTAAGAATTTAGTAAGACCTTATCTCAAACACCCCCACACACAAATGCCTGGGGATGTAGCTCAGTGCAAAGGCCTGGAGTCCAATTCTCAGTATTATATAAAAAAAAGAAGAAAGTAGAAACAACCTAAATGTCCATAGACTGGTGAGGGAAAAGTAAAGTGTGTTTTATCTGTCCAGTGAAATACAATTCTGCCCCAAAAAGGACAGAGGTACTGATACTGCGCAACATGGATACAGTTCAAAGCCTGCACAGTGACAGAGGCCAGAGGCAAACAGCCAAATGTGTCACAATTCCAATTACACGATGCACCCAGAAAAGATAGACAGAAGACTGGTGGCTGTCTGGGACTGGGATGAGTAGAGGGCATGACCACAAAACAGGAACAAGGAACCAAAAAACAGGTACAGGGGATACTTTGGGAGTTCAGTGGACCTTTGAGTTACAACTAGCCTGACATGGGAACAACTTGGGTTACAGCCAGAATTTTAGCTTTAACTTATGAACAAAGTTTTGAGTTACTATCCAAATGCTGGCCACTTGTGCTTCCAGATGGTCTCAGATACAGATTGGGGGGTGATACCAGGGATCAAACTCAGGACCTTATGCTTGTAGGCAGGCAGAAGAACCACTGAGCTAAATCCACAGCAGTCAGATACAGATTTAACCCTTAAGGAACATTACAACATCCTTTCCTGCATAGGGTTAAGAAATCCTGGGCCAACGTCTCTCTAAGGACACTGAGATCTACCTATATATACAGGAGAGAGACTTTGCAGGCTATGTAAGGAGGCTGAGCCTTCAACTGGCCAATTTGAGCTACAACTAGTCCTCTTGAATGAAATGAGTTCATAAATCAAGGATCCACTACAGTGAAAATATTCTAAAAATTAGATTGTGAAAATGTGCTGAAGGCTTTTGAACTGCACATTTCAAATGAGTAAATGCAGTGGCACAGATTATATCTCATTGGAAGATGGCTGGCCTCCCAGGGGGCACAAGGACTGGGAGATGGCCCCCTGTTACGCCCCGGGAGTCCGCAGGCCTAATGCTGCCCTTGCTGTTCTCTCCTCATGCAGCACAGAGCCTTCCTGCCACCCCTGGGCACTTCTAGGAGAAGCACATGGCCTGCCATGCTCACCTGTGCCAGGTGCCAAGAGAAGCAGGGGTGACTTTGAATCTTGTGACTGCTGCTAGATCCTCCCTCAGGCCAACGGTTATTGCCTTTTTTAACAACAAGAGTATACTTGTCCTAATATATGATCTAGAAGCCTGTAATATAAAAGTCCTGGGCCCAGAGCAGAGGCCAGGGTACTCAGGAGGAAGGAGTGGGCTCCTTCCTGTCCCCAGCCCTGGGACTCAGCCTTCTGCTCTCCACCTCACCCTCGTCCAGAGGACAGCCAGATAATGAGACAAGACATGTTGCTGACTGGCACAGAAAAAGATGAGCCCACGCAGGACCTGCCCAATGGAACCCCCATCCTGCGGAGCCCAGCAAGGCCCCATCCTGATTAACATCCCTCTGACCTGAGGCCACCACAGTTCATTGGTGCCGACTGCGGAGCCTGCCCTTTGACTTGCAAGTTTGTTGTGGTTTTTCTTTTTGGTACCAGGGATCAAACTCAGAACCTTACACTTGGAAGGCAGGTATGCCGCCACTGAGCTAAATCCCCAGCCCCACGGACTTGCAAGTGGAAAGAAGGGAAGACAAGCTGGGTGTGGTCATGGTGGGCTGCTGAGGCAGGAGGATCACAAGTCAGAGGCCAGCCTGGGCAACTGGGTGAAATTCTGCCTCAAAATCAAAATAAAAAATGGGCTGGGGATGGAGCTTGGTGTGAAGGTCTGAGTTTAATCCCTAGTACTGCTAAAAACAACAATGAAGGGGCCAGGGATGTAGCTCAGTGGTGCCACGCCTGCCTGGCAAGTGCAAGGTCCTGAGTTTGATCCTTGGTAACTGGGAAATAAAAAAAGGCAATCTACTACCACAAAACTCAATAAAGGAGGAAGAGGAGGCAGGAGAGGAGGAAAAGGAAGGAGAGGAAGAGGAAAAAGGGATGACAGGTAGGGTCCCAGCCTGGGGGCTGTACCCCCCATCTTCCATGCCCACGCATGCCCGCTTGTTCACATTGTGCCCTTTTCCAACTTCCCCTCCAGACAAAGGAGAAATCTCTGGACAGCGAGCTCAAGGTCCAGGTTCAGGTTCTGGCAAAGCAGGCATAGCAGTCAGCAGTCCCAGGCCTGGTGCTGAGCCTTGGATGTTGGCCCTGCTGCCTTAGCATGTGAATGACCCTGAGCTTCAGGCCGTGCTGTAGCCCTGAGGTCACAGCACAGGCACACAGCCCTGCTGGAGGGTTCGGGCAGTGGAGACTGGGACAGCCAGGGCCTCTCTCTCTCAGGACTTGCACAGGTCAGGATGCCACACTGGAGAAAGAAGTAGCAGAAGACACAGCACAGCGGTAGGGTGGTGAGAAGTGGCAGCACCAGCAGCTGCAGCAAGAGAGGAGCAGAGTCTGAAGGGAGTCAGAGCAAGGAGCCTCAAGTTCTGCTTGTTCCAACCCTGGGCCTTGCTCACTCTCTGCTTCTTTCCCGCCCTGCCTGTCCTCAGCCTCCATCTCCTGAAGCCATTGGAACTCATCTGCCAACCTCCTCAGGATTCTCCCAAGGGAAGAACCAGAAGGAGCAAAGACCAGCCAGGCAGATGGGCTGTCTCACCAAAGGCAGAAGGTACGCAAGATGGGGCAAGCACTGAACAACAGCCTTCCTGGAGGTTGGCAGTGCCTATCAACGGGCTTGGAAAAGGGCTATCCTGGCTGTCACCCTTAAGAAGTTCGATGACAATGACACATGCACAACAAAAATGTGAATGTGCCGTCTTCACAGCTCAGCCAGGAACAGCCCCAGGGTTCATCGGGGGTGACAGGTGGGATTCACTATGATGGGTCTTGGTTAGGGTTCCAGGCAGCCACTCCTCAAGGACAACCCAGGGTTAATTTCACTTATTCTTTCTGCAAACACCTATTTGCAAGCTCCATGCCTGCATAGAAGCCCAGAGTTTATTTAGAAAGAGTAGAGCGCAGTGTCTTGGGCTCCCACAATGTGCTAAGCCTTCAGCAATACTATGTTCTGTTCTTTTAATTGTTTTGTTTTCATGTTTTATATGCACATTTATTTGTCCCCTTTTTACTTGATAGCATACTGTGACCATTTCCTCCATCATTAAATGTTCTTTTACTGTCTCAGTGGCTGCCTGGAAGGAAAATTATGAGCCGGCCCTGGTCTGTGGCCCCTCTCGGCCTGTGTGTTTGGGTCTGCTAGGGTGGGGAGACTGCAGAAATCAGGCTGGGTCTCCAGTCCTACAAGGAGTACCTTTCTCCCTGTCTGGTTCAGTGAGGTCACAGCCATGCTCTCTGTCCCACACCCAAACCAACGTCACTGTTGCAATAGAAAAACTGGGTCAGGACCCATCTGGTTCCCATCAACAAGTAAGGCAACCACCAACGCAACAGGCATAACTCCACAAGGCGACCAGCAATAAGTCCACAGTACAACCAACCAAGGACCGTGGCCGGAAGTCTGCTCCAGCATGACAGCTGGCACGGAGAGCTGGTCCCTGAGGCTGGTATTCTTTGCCCTCCCTCCTACCCGCTCCGTTTCCTGGCTGACCAGCCTGAGTCTTATCAATCTGCCCATTATGCTAGGAGTGCTCGGAAGCATAAGTGTGCTCTCCGGGGCTCTGGGACTAGGGCATCCAAACAGCAGAGGAAGTCACTCAGTTTTCTGGGAAAGAGGAAAATACCAGAGCGGTGTGGGGGTGGTGCAGGCCTTTGCTGCAGTCTGTGGGAATGGTGGAGTGGGTGGGAACACCATGCACTGTGCAGACGCTGGGAGGGACAAGGAGGCACAGATCTCTCCAGGGCGGGCTCTGCAGGGCCTGTCCCCACATGGGAGCCTGTGTGAGGGCTGTAGTGTCTGGTTGGCCAATGCCTAGCACTCTGGAGGACACAGAAAGGAAGAGACAGTACTGGCCTCAGGTGTGACAGGGATAAAGTCAAGGGTCCCGGACAGACTGGCCGTAAGTGCCTTGGCACAGCGACACAGTGTACTGGCCAATGAACCACCAGCTCACTCCTCAGCGCTTAGCAGAAAGGTCCTTGCAGCTGCCAGCTACCCCCTAGGGTTCTCATGAGGACAAGAGCTGGGGGCCAGGCCAATGGCAGGGTCCCAGAATTACTGTGTGGATGGACAAGATGACTTTTAGGGACCCTCCAGGTCACTATCCTAGCTCTGGGGTCTGCCCCCACGATCCCACTTCTCCAGGCCTGGGCAGAGCATGGAGAAGGCAGCTGCTGCCTGTGTGGGTAAACAGGGAGATGTACAGGAGGCAGTGGAGTCCCACATCTGGGAAGGATGGAGTCTGGGAGGCATGGCTACCCCCATCCTGCACAGGCAGGTCCCGAGGGGACAGCAGGTGGGGACACCAGGCAGGAGCTGTGAATGTACAGCAGGTAGGGGGATCTTGATCCTGGGGGGCTCCCAGAGGCTCCCTTTTCTGCATCTGCCCCCCTGAACAGATGAGGAGCCACCTCGTGTTTCCAGCCCCACTTCATAGAGGCAGAAAGGATAGGGTATCCTCTGCCTAGTACTGACCCCTGGCCCCCTTCTGAGCCTCTCACAGAGCTCCCTGGGGTGGGGGGGCATCCTATTCCTCTGCTGTAACCCACACACCACGTATGCCCTGGGGCCATAGAGGCAGGTGCAAGTGACAAGAGGAACCAGTGAATGCACTGGTCTCTAGCTCTGAGCTCCAGATATGAGGCTCCAAGGGGTGTGGGGTGGGGCTGACCCTGGCCTGTACCACCGTCAGCTCTGCCCACCACGACTCCCCGGCCTCCCTTCTCCAGCTGGGGCAGCTCTGGGTGTAGACTGGAGACCAGAGTACAGGGACCCTTAAGAGGCCCAGGCAGCCTCTGAGGGCTCCTAGGTGAACTTTACTTCTTATCACCAGTCCTCGGTGGGGAGTTCTCAAGGGTGGACCTTGCATTTCATACCCAGGCCCAAGGGCTCAAGGTCAGAGGGCAGCAGGGGTGGCCCTTTCCTCCAGGGAGATCTCCTTACCCCGGTGTCAGTGGCCAGGTGTCCCTCCTCTGCCCATCTGTGCCATTGCCCAGTGCCTGTCTCCCTGTAGACTGGAAGATACTGGAGAGCAGGACAGGCTCATCTGGCTCAGCACCCCTGCTGGTCTCCAGCTCCTTAGGGGACACTACTCCAGGCCTCTGACGGGACCTGCTCTGAGGCACCCTGCCGGTGCCTGTGCCTGCGCCTATGCCTGTAAATGCTGCCGGCTAACAGTGACTGAGGTCAAGTAGCTGTGGCCCACAGGGCTTAAATGGAGAGGGAGGGTACAATGTCATGCCCACACTCCGCCTTCCTGCCTGGGGCTCTACTGTGCCTAGGTCCCCAGGTGCTGATGTTGCCCTTTAAGCCTCACAGGGAAGCCATCAGAAGGCCAAGGGCAGAGTCCTAGTGGCCTAAATTGCTGAGGCACCATGGTCAGAGGGACAGGTGTGGGGCTGCCTGGATCTGCTGGCCCTGTTCAAACATTCTCCAAGGTCAGGGGTCCTCTCTGGCCCAGCTCCTGACCCTGTCCTAAGAGGCCATGTCCTCTCAGAGACCACCAGGCCAGACCCCTGCCGAGGCCACTAGACACTAGACAGGGGACAGCTAGTCTGAGGGTGGCAGCAAGCCTAGGGGTTGGGGGCCTGGCATTTGGTCTTCAAGGAGCCTTGCAGCCTGAAGATACTGTGCCTGACCCCTGACTACACCTCCCTTCATCCTGAAGCTCTTTTGTGCCTCAATTTCTCCACTGAGAATGGGCATAGTGACCTGAGACAAGGCTTAGAACACACCAAATAAATCCTGGGCCTGTCCTTGTCCACTGGAAGGCAGCTATGCTCACCACTACACCACCAACGCCTGTCCTTATCCACTGGGACCCAGGAAAGCCCAGCCAGAAGAAAAGGGAACTCAAAGCCTGTGCTCTGGTTCTGGCCTCATTCCCTTTGCTGCTTCCTGCCCAGGTGATCTCCCTGTGAACATGATCAGCCACTTCTCCAAACACACAGGCCCTAAGCACAAGGGAAACACAGGTATAGCCACACAGTCATCCTACAAGACACAGGAGGCTTTCTCATAAGATACAGGAGGCTATCCTATAAAATAACCAGAGGTAACCCTATATGACACCCAGAAGGCCATCCTGTAAAATACCTGGCCAGCTTACACATAGCCACCCAAAGGCAACTGGCTTCCTCCTACCACTCCCACACAGAGGCCCAGGAGTGGGTGACCCTGAGGGTCCTGGTACGTGGTATGTCACAGCCAGGAAGACCAGTAAAAGGGCATGCTCTTAGCCCCTAGAGGTACCTGGAGAGGGGCAGAATGAGGTCCACGGACAGCACAGATGATGGGGGCAGTGGACCTCTGAGCTCCTGTTGTTTCTTTCTTTTTTAAAAAAAATGTTTGTGCTACAGTATTGCTCTGTGGCCAATGAAAGTGAACAAACATTCATTATTATTATTATCATTATAGTTCTGATGACTCTGCATTCTCAGATGTGTGTTATCTAAAGGGAAGGTTGCTTGAGAGCATGAGAGTCTCCAGCCTCCAAGATACACACCACTGGCCTCACTGCCTCTGACCTGTGCCCAGGTATCTTGGCCAACACACCCAATGCCAACTCAGTGGGCACCGGGGCCAGATTGGGATGAGGTCCAATTCGCTCCCCGATCTCTGGTTTTGCTCCTTTCCAAACTTTCTGAACTCTTCCCCCACTGCCTCTGGCACGTCTAGCCCTGATGAGAGCCACAGCAGCCAAGAGGGCTAGAAAGTGGCATCCCTGGGAGCTGGAGAGTGGCAAGACCTCCTTGGAGGTCCCAGGGTTCTGCACCATGACACAATCATCCCCAGAACCTGGCACGGCTCCATCCAACATCCCACAGCCATGATGCTCACCTGGACAGTCCACCTGCACATCCTGGGACTTCTCTGGGGCTGAGAGCTGGAGACCATGGCTCAGGGACTCTCTGGAGATTGTTTGTCCGTCAGTCTGGAAGCTGGTAGAGAACACAGTTGGAATATGCTGGCCCAGGAGGCAGCTCAGCATCCCAGGATGACACTGGTGTTGCTGCCTCCTGCAGACCCCCAGGGCATCTACAGAGGGCTCCCAGAGGGTTGGGGGACAGGAGCTCGAGTCCCACAGAGCCAATCCACCCTGCTTCAGCCTCCCACAGCCTCCAGGGGTTCCTGTGGAAGAAACTCAGCTCTGCTGCACTTGGCTTGCTGTGTAGCCTTGGGCAAGTCCACACCTGTCTCTGAGCCCAGTGTTCCCATCGCGACAAGGGGTTGGGAAAGCTCCTCCTACTCCCCATGCCCACCAGTCTAGGCCATGCTGGAAAACTCAGACTGGAGCTGGTGTTCCACTGAGAGATCTTGGGGGATCCCATGCAGTCCCTAGTAGAGGCCTCCTGGACAGTGGTTGGGCTGCATCCTAATAGGCACAGGCTTTCCCAGGGCTCCTGAATGATCATCAGTACCTTAGGGTTTACCTGGCCACACCTCAACCTCCTGGGTGGTGAGTGGGTTGTTTTCAGTACACACCTCAGGCCTGTACCAGGCTGCAAGCTTGCACAACCCCAAGGACACATATGTAGTCATCAGCCACGTAAACAGAGTCCACTGGAGTCCCACCTGTCAGGGTGGGGTTGGCCCTGTCCCTACCCAGTTCCCATGTGGATGGGCCAATTACCTGCTTCGTACATTCGGCCTTACTCCTTGCTGGTACTGCAGGTTCAAACTAAGTTTTCGAACACACCCAGGCCCAGGCCCACCTGGCAGCAGTCTGCTTAAGAACCTGGGATAGGTTTTAAAGCAAAAGATATAAGGAGGTGATGAAGAAAGTGGGAAGGGGGTCGTGTGGGGACTGGACAGGTCCCCTCCTGGCCTGGACCACAGGACTAGGGCAGCCTGTTGGTATGGCAACCTAAAGCAGGGGAAGATGGCCAAGTGTGCTTCTGGGGTCTGCTATGCTGGAAGGTTTCTGAGCACTATGGAACCTGCAGACTTTGGGTCACTAGGTAGTTCCACTGCTCCCAGGACTGTCAGGGAGAAGCAGTTCCCACCTGACGATAGAGAAGACTGAGGTTAACACAGCACTGAGCTCTGGCAACAGCAGGTGACAAAGGGCCTTGTATACAAGGAGGGATCATGACCCTGGTTAGCATCCTCATGTGAGCTTGGGTCCTCCAAGATGGGACCAGGCAAACCCCGGGCTCAGAGTCATCAGCTAGGAGTCACCCCCAAATTATTCAGGCTGTAATCTCTCCCATCTTAACTGCCTCCTACAAACAAGGCTGTTGGTAAATCCTCACCATGAAAGTAAGGCGGCACTTCCCCACCTAATTAACTCTGTGTAAACTGGCTCTGGCTTTTAAATAGCTAAATAAAGAACAAATATGAAAAGACAGTGCTGGAGGAAGCCAGGAAGTCTGGGCCAAGCTCACACACCTCAGTGATTAGGGTTCCTGACCTGTTTATGGGGCCAGGTGGTGGAATCATCTTCTGGACAAAGTCATTGTCCAGCAGCCCGGATCTGCTGTCTCCCTCCTTCCAGGAAGTGGGTACCCTGCTCCCCACAGAGACACCCCTGCAGTTGGCCCACAAAAGGGTCTTAACTCTACTCTCTGCTCAAAGAATTTGGGGCACTGATTAAGAGAAAGTCAAAATCGAATTTCCTAAATGAACCTTGCTCTTGGCCCTGCTAGGGCCTTTGAGACTGGGTCCCTTTAAGGGGATGTCACCTGGATTAGAAAGTGCTAATCCAAACCACATACAGCTAGAACCCTCTGTCCCTCCTCAATGTGGTGGCCGCCTTACACATTGTCACTGCTGTGGGCCAGGCTGTTTCAGTCTTTATTCCTTTCCTGCTTCACCAGCAGCCTTCCTGCCAGTGTGCTGCTCCTAACAATTGTCTCCCACCCACTCGCACTTTGTTCCCAAAGCAGAACAGGAAACAGGACAACCAAGCTTGTTAAAGTGCTAGGCAAAGTGAGAGATGTGCAGAAAGGAACGGAACCTATCACCGAAACCATCACCGTGTCCTCACAACCCCGTTCGGTTGTCATTAGTGCCCACGTGGGAAGCAGAGGCCAGTGAAAGACACCAACAAGTGAGGCGAGATTCCTGTCTCTGTGACCATAACGAGCCTCTCAAGGTGATTAACATTTCACTCCTGTCATTCTGGAAAAGTATGCACCTGGAATGCAGTGTCCCCCAAAGCGGGCAGTTGTCCAGAGGAGGATGGCACCCCAAGTAATACAGTGACAGCAAGGGTGGATAGAGGGGAGCAGACTGCTTTGGTTCTGAACTCCTGGAAGGAGGAAAGCCCTGAAAGGAGGTCCCCTCTACCTCACCACAGCCCACCTGAGAATGTCCTCCTTGCCTTACTGTCCTCCATGGAAACGAACCAATCCCACTTCTCCAGGGCCTCCCAGCAGCAAGAAAGCTGAGGCCTGGTGGGATGGGACGCAGCAGGTAGGGAAGCCTGCATCTCATCTTTCTCAGCCATCTCCCCGCTCAATATCCTCTCTCTCCTATCTGCCACAGTCTCCCCAGCTTTCTTCCACCCCTCTGTCAGGAAGTCCTCCTGGATTTCCCTGTCACCCTTGGGGTGGGGAGGTGGGGGCTCTGAAGGCTGCCCGTGGTTCACGCAGCTCTGGGGAGCTTTATCCAATGCTGTCCTCACCGTTGCAGTGGCCACTTCCCAAGGTGTCCCTCTGATGCATGCATGGAGGAGAGCCTTCTTTTTCACCCCCTGGATGAGGGTCCCCCTTCCCACCTATTTCTGTCCCTTCTTTTACCTGCATCCTGGCAGCTGTGGCACTGATCAGCGTGCAGCAGCTGCTCAGTGGATGTTTGTGTGAGTCAGTCTGGCACTGGGGCTGCCAGAGTCTGCCTGCCTGGGTTGGAGTCACTAATAGGCTGTGTGACTAGCTAGATCACCGAGCCTCTCTGAGCCCTGGCTCCTGCCTCCATCCTGTGCTCTCTGTGAAGATGACAGGCAAGCAGTGCTTCGTGCACAGTCAGCTCTCATCATTATGGCGGCCAGGCTGTCTTTTTTGAACAGGAAGATTCGTGGTTGAGATTAGGGGATGACAGAGTAGAGTGACAAATCCCATACCCAAGTCTGGGGGACTGAGTGCTGTACTTGGTACTTCCCCTGGGAGGCGTAAGGTTCTTACACAGTCCTGAGGAGGAGGCTGGCGGGCCTGAGCAGAAACACCTTGGGCATGGTCCCTGCGGGGGGCCTCACCCCACGAGCTCACCAGGGAGAGAGGGAAAGCCTCGGGGGTGCACGAATCACCGTCCCCAGAGAGCCACAGCAGCCCCAGTGAGCAGGGAGGCCACACTGCCCTGCAACAGAGACACAGGTGAGTCACAGCCAGCCTGGGGGCATGGGCAGTGCCCTGCTTTTGGGCTGACTCATAGCCCCTTGGCGGACACCTGACTGATTTCTTGCTCTGTAAACCCACAAGCCAACCCAGACAATCAGATCCAGAATAGGAGGCAGCTGCCTTGTTAAGGCTCTGGGCTCTCCTTCCCAAGATGAGCAAACATCAGATTCACAAAGCCTCTGACCATAGCCCTCTGCCCCGCTGCTGCTCCAAGCCCTCACCTCCCTGCCAGGGCGAAGGGAGACCTGTCCCCTACCCACCAGGTCAGAATGTGCTGCACACAAGGTGTTGTCTGGATACCTACCCATCCAAAACCCCAAAGAGAAGCAGATTGGCTCCTCCAGATCCCATGGTACTGGCCACAAGTTTCCTCCCTGTATCTACACTGATGCTCCCCATAGCAACGGTATAGTCTGAATCCACGCTGATCCCCCACAACCTTGCCCAGCAGAGCCATGCACCTTTCCCCTTCTCTCTGGTCTTAGGGGTGGCCTTACCTCACTGACCAGGCCTCTGGCTGCTCTCTCCTGGTCCTGATGCCTGGCTTGCCTTCCCCCACCGGAGACTCATGGCAGAAGTCCTGCCAGGGAGGTCTGGCCACTCCCTGCTTGTGGCCGCTGAGCTCTGGGCTCAGCACCCCTCGCTCCTGCAGCTAAGGCATGGTGAATCTAGCTGTGCAGTGCCCCAGGTCCCAGGTGACGAGAGGGAGGCTGGGCAGAAGTGGGGACACGCCCCAGCCCGCCTGGGGCTGCTGGCGAGGTGTGGCCCTGGGTACCTCTGGCCCACCTGGCACCAACCCCAGCTGCCCACCCATGGTCTCTTACATAATAGGGCGGGAGGCAGGATAGGGACCTGCTGGTTCAGTAGGAGAGGCGCTTGCTGGCCATCATCTGTAACAGCCTCAGGTGTGATTGCTGCCACCTCAAGCCCTTGTACCTGGGAGCCAGCTGGGCCTGGCGCTGGGCGGGAGGCTGGGCTTGGTGTGCCTTCTTTCTAGTTCACTAATAAGCACACACACGTGTGTGGCTTCTAGTGTCCTGTCCTGCAGGTTTCATTAGAGCCTCATTTTCCAGAGGCAGCAATGGGAGCCCAGAGAGCTCCAGCCTTGCTCAGTGTTAAACCTTGGACCCCATTCACCATGACAAAAATCCCCACACCCCTTCCCTCTGTGCTCCAGGAACTGGCAGGTTTGTAGGAGGAGCTGAGCCTACCAGAATCTTCTAAATCTTGGGTCTCTGCTCCCTGGAGAGTCCCTTGCCACCCACCCTGTGTCTCTTGTCTCTTCTATACACTAGAGCTCCCTATGGGTGCCCCTGGGTGCCTGTCCCCTATCACCCTGGGGAGTAGGCCTATCTCTTTAATTATCACTCACGTCACAACTCCAAATCCTAAACTGCCTCGAGGGTGAGTGGGATTGGATGAGGCAAGAAAAGGGAGGCCACTGTGGAGGCTGCCCCTGCTGGTGTTAAGGAGGAATTTTAAGCCCTTAATTTGTTTTCATTTCTTTCTTTCTTTTCTTTTTTTTTTTTTTTTTTTTTTTT